GCCACCCTCCCCCCCTCCTCCCTCACTGCCCGCTTCACCCCCCCCATGCCCAACCCCCCCAGCCCCACTCCCCCGGCAATCCCCCCCCCTCCCCCTGCTGCCGCTGCTGCTATCACTGCATTCATATGCTGCTCGTGAGCCTCCTGCTGCTGCTGTTTCTGCTGCTGGTGGTGGCTCTGGTGGGTTTGCTGCTGCTGCTGTTGCTTCTTTTGCAGATGCTCCTTCCCTCCCGGTCCTCTGCTCCTCCTCCGCACGTCCCTCAGCTGAGCCAACGCAGCTGCCTGCCGCTCCAACTGGCAGGGAAGCGAGAAGATAAGAAGGGGTTTTCAGAATTAGGATGGGAAGTAGGAGCCTCAAGACGTCCCCTCTGCGTCTCCCCTTCCCTGCTCCTCCTCCGCACGTCCCTGAGCTTACCCAAGGCTGCTGCCTGCCCCTCCAACTGGCACGAGGAGAGTTACAGGGAGGTTACACGAGATTTCAAGAGGTAGACCGTAGAATAGAGGTTACGCGTCCTAATCCATCTGTTAAACTATGATAAGAATGTGTGAAAATCAAGGATGTGCAAAAGCAAGGTTGTGAAAAGACTAATATGACGTGTCAAAAGCATAGGTTGGAAAAAGGAAAGATCGAGAGGGTGGGGCAGGGGGAGAGCAAGTGGGTATCTCACATCTCAAGACGGCTTTTGACGACTTTTGAGGCGACTAAAAAATCAATTCTAAAAAGCGCAGTACAATCACATCACATCTTCCACCACAGACGTGAGTATATACGTTTGTGCAGGAAAATATACGTTTGTGCAGTATATTTTCCTCATTGCTGAACCTCTGGTTCAAACGGAGCTTCTGCCTTTGTTGCTAACAGGTTACGACAGGGTTGATGGAGGGCGAATGGAGGAGACAGGGATAGCTCACATCTTGCACCATCAAAGTCAGTTGGTCTTCCTTGTGCTTTAAGGCACCTCAACTCAGGAGGTAACTGAAAGGGATCCACAATCCTTAAAGCACAATCAACTCACAACTTCCACCACAGAAGTGAGACGACTTTTGAGACGTCTCAAAACGACTTCGACAAGTCTTTTTTTAGGCATCTCTGAACAACTTTTGACGACTTTTGAGACGTCTCAAAAGTCCATACTCAAAGCGCAGTAAACTCACATCTTCCACCACAGAAGTGAGCTGGTCCAATTTCCTCTTGAGCTCTTTCTTTGTCTGCCGCTGCTGTAACGCGTACTGGGCTTCATGCTGCTGCTGCTGCTGCTGCTGCTCGGATTGGTGGTGGTGGTGGTGTTGCTGCTGGTGGTTCTGCTGCTGTAACAGAAGGTCCGATGGGTGCTGCTGCTGCAGATTATGCCGGTGTTGCAAGGTGTATAGTGACTGCTCCTGCTGATGCAACTGCTGTGGCTGCTCCTGCTGATGCTGCAGCTGCTGCTGCTGAAGCTGAAGTGGGTAGTGAGAATGATACTGCGTCTGGTGTTGAGTCTGATATTGCGGCATCTGCTGTGATGAGTAATGTGAAAATGGAGTCTGATTGTGCGACTGATTGTGCGACTGATTGTGCGACTGGTTGTGCGACTGGTTGTGCGACTGGTTGTGCGACTGAGTGTAGTTCCCTCCAATCATACCCACCCCTGCGCCTGACCCTCCTACTCTCCATTCCTCCACCCCCCCATGCCTCCCCGCACCTGTCCCTGTGCCACGTGGCATATGTTGTAACGTGCCACGTGGTACATGCGGCAGCGGGCCACGTGGCAGCGTGCGCGGCGCCGGCTGCTGCGCAGGGGAAGCGTGGAGAGGGGCGGGTGCGCCCGCGGGGTTGGAGGGAAGCGCAGGAGGATGGGGGACGGCGGAAGAATGGGGGAGTGAGGGGGGATGAGGGAGGGCGGAGGAATGCGGGAGTGTGGGGGGATGGGGGAATGCGGAGCCATATGCGTTCGCAGGGGGAAGCTGCGCGGACGCAAAGCTGTGCGCGGAGGGGGATGTGTGCGCGGGGGCGGCGGAGGAGTGCGCAGCGGCGGAGGGGTGCGGGGGAAGGTACGCGGAGGAGACCCTTCGAGGCATGTGAGCAGCGGCGGAGGACCGCGCGGAATGGAATGGCGGGCGCGGGGGGTTAGCGGGGAGGGCATCCCCATGGTGGTGCGCGGGGAGCGGGCGCGGAGGGGGATGCGGAAGGGGAACGCTTCCCGCTTGATTATTATGCTCCGCCGTGAGGATGCGGGTGTGAGGAAGGGGCTGGTTACCTGTCGCGCGTTGTGCTGCCATGATGATGCATGCGATTTACATGGCGCGTAATAGCAAATAACAACAAAAAAACGCTTTCGTGGCTTGGGTTTGCTTTCCTGACCGATTTGCAACGCGATAGACCAAACGACACCGTAGGAAAATGTACTAAAAACCTAATCGAGGGAGACCCGGAAGTCCAGCCATGTTGGCCGTATCCAGAGAATATTAGTTCACCTCTAGTGCAGCAAGTAACAGGCTGTTCGGCCAAATCGTCGTGTCGTTTGAAAAACATTCGCAGGCCATGTTTCAGCCAAACTGCTAGTAGAAACTTTCGCATACACGTTTCGCAAATCCCGTCGGACAGGAAACTGAAACGGGCTGCAACTTGAGTCTGAAACATGCCGTCCATCATCTCTTCGCAATGCAAGTACGCATCCCTCTCCAGCATCCCTCCCTGTTGCAAACAAAAAATGTCCCAGAAGCTTACTTGAACTCGGTTCAATGAGATTTTTTGCGTTTCAAACCGTTATATGCTGCACTTCGACTGATTGGGGGGAAAGCACACCACTGGGAGGAAATCATATTTTTGTGGAACGCACTTCGCAAATCATAAGGGCGGGGGCAGCGCGTTCATTTTCCTGGCTTAGCCCGAAACAGTTACCAGATTCAGGGGTTTGTAACCCCGATTTAGGGTAACCTGTGGACACGACGGAGTATACAGTGGATGAACGGTGGCTGTTTTCCGTGCCGTCAATCGAACAAAACACGTTCCCACAACGTCCGCGAACAACCCGCGCATCATTTGAGAAAGCCCTTGAAAACGTCAGCGAAACCGCACCACGACTTCGTCAAGCGCGTACGACCCTCGCAAATCCAAGGGTTCGAGTGTCTGGTGTGCGCGAAGTTTTGCCACCTTCAATTCGGGGGCACAGGGTTACCTCGCTGGGTGGGCGGTTTGGCAAAAATGTGGCGGGTCCTGTGCCGGATTTTGGACGCGCGTGTCTCACCTGGGACACAAACTAAGCGCGGTACAAAAAAGCTACAGTAACCTCCAGATTCGACGGGTGTCAAAATTTTGTACAAGTGGCGAAAATGAACGCGCTGCCCCCGCCCTAAATGCCAGCCTGATTATTTTTCTAGCAGACATTCCAGGCACCATATCAGCCATGGCGGCTCCAATGGTGACGGCGCCAGTGTTTGTTTGAGTCGCTTCGAAGCGCCGGAGGAAAATCGATTTTGGCTCTATGCACCTGACCGATCTGAACCGACCATAGCAAACCGACCGAGACCAGGGCGGACCGAACCGAACTAAAGAAGAGCGAACCAGGCCTGCAGGCATGGCGAGCGGCGTGGGTCCGATGATGACGGCGCCGGTATCGCCGGAAGAGGTGCTTCAGAAGATGATGCACGACGGCGTGTTCGACTCGCTCAAGAACCGGATCCTGCTCGATCTCAAGCATAATGTACGCGATATTGTCGTTTTCGATGTTTCGTAAGGGGCATGTTAGGGTGAGGTGAGGACGATGCACGACGGCGTGTTCGAACCCGCTCGATCATCTCAAATCAGCGTACGCAATATTGACAGATTCGATATTCAGTCAAAAGTCTACACCACGAAATTGGTGCAGGGCCGTGAAACTCTATCCGCCCACGACGCATGCACACCCTCACCCTCCTCCGCCGCCCCCTTTTGTGTCACTGTGACTGTAACAGAAGGAGCGACAGGAGATGCTGGTGCAAAGCAGCGAAACTCTATCTTCTCATCATGTTCGCGACCCCTCGCCTTCCCACCTTCCCCTCCCCCATTTCCTTTCAACCCCTCCTTTCCCCTTCCCTTTCTCTCTCCTCTCCCGCTCCTACATTTCCATGTGACTGTAACGGGAGGAGCTGCGGCAGCACGCGGCGAAGCGGCAATGCAGGCCCTAATCGCTTCAGCCCCTTCCCCCTCCCGAAACGAGTTTTGATTCGACCCGAAACGAGTGTTGAGTCGACCTGAAACGAGTTTGAGTCGACCCTCTCTGCTCACGACGTCCACACCTACCTTCTTACTCTTTCCCCCCCCCTCTCCCCAACCCACCCCCGCCATTTCAACAAGAGGAGCTGCGGCAGTACGCGGCTAAGCTGGTGCAGAGCAGCGAAACATTCTCTGCTCACAAACCCCCCCACACCACACCCACCAACCTCGTCCCCTCTTCCCGCCTTTCCCTCCCAGCTATTCCAACAGGAAGAGCTGCGGCAGTACACGGCTAAGCTGGTGCAGAGCAGCGAAACCCTCTCTGCTCACGACGCTCTCCAAACCTTCCGCAGTCCACCACCCTGGCATTGCACCCCATCTTTCCTACTCTCTCCTCTTCTCTCCTCCCCATTCCCTCCTTCCCCCCTTCCTCTCGTTAGAATCAACAGGAGGAGCTGTGGCAGTAGACAGCAAAGCTGGTGCAGGGCAGCGAGCCTCTTTCTGCTCCCCGTGTTTGAACAAGTGTTTTGAGACGTCTCAAACACGTTGGGTGAGCGACGAGTGTGTGTTGAGACGTCTCAAAACACTTGTTCAAACAAGCAGCGAGCCTCTTTCTGCTCCCCTTCCACCCGTTTTGTCCCGGCCTTTCCCATGCCCCCCCCCCTCCCCCTCTCTCCCCCCTCTCCCTCTCCCTTGCAACAGGAGGAGCTGCGGCAGTACACGGCCAAGCTGGTGCAGGGCAGCGAGACTCTTTCCGCTCACGACGCTCGCACGCACAACCGGCGGGAGCTGTTTGAAGCGCTGCGGAAAGAACTGGAGTGAGTGAGATGGGGGTTCGAGTGAGTTTGAAGGTGTTCAAATGGGTTTGGAGGGGATTGACTGAGTGGGAAGGAGTTGGAAGTTGGCGATTTTGGGAGCAAATCCACTTCCAAGTTGAGAAAGCCCACCTCTCCCTCCCTCCTCCACCTCTCCCTCTCCCTCTCCCTCTCCCTCTCCCTCTCTCTCTCTTTCTCCCTCTCCCTCTCCTTCTCCCTCTCCCTCTCCTTCTCCTCTCCCTCCCCCACACATGCAGGGCGCCAGTGGTTGAGAAGGCGTCTGGCTTTGCGTGGTCCCTCATGCTCTCGCCTCTCTCAGGGGACGTGGGGGAGGGAATCCACTCCCGGGTCAAAGAACCCCCTTCCCTACACCCCCCCCCCCTCCCTCCCCCCCTTCCGCACCTTCTTCCCCCCCTTCTTCTTCCCCCCCTTCTTCTTCCCCCCCTTCTTCCCCCCTTCTTCTTCCCCCCCTTCTTCTTCCCCCCCTTCTTCTTCCCCCCCTTCTTCTTCCCCCCCTTCTTCTTCCCCCCTTCTTCTTTCACCCTTGCCCTGTTCTCCCAACTTCCAGGGCGCCAGTGGTTGAGAAAGCATCAGGGTTCGCGTGGTCTCTCATGCTCTCCCCTCTTTCAGGAGGCGTTGGGGAGGAAATCCACTCCCGGGTCGAAGAGACCTTCACTCGCCTGCACGCCGAGAAGGCGGCCAGTGACGCGCTGACACGTGGCAGCAGCAGCGGCGGCGCTGGTGGCAGCTTTGAGGATGCGGTGGTGGCAGCAGGGGAAGCAACAGGAGATGCAAAGGCGGCAGCGGCACGGGTTGCAGCAGCGGCGGGTTTCGGACCGAAGAAAGGCGGCGGTGTTGCTGCTGCTGGTGGGGGAGGGGAAGGGGGAGGGGCAGGGGCAGGGAAAGGCGGGGGTGTTGCTGCTGCGGGTGGGGGAGGGGAAGGGGGGTGGGTGTGGGGAGAGTTGTTGCTGTGGATGGGAAAGAGGGATCAGGAGGGGAAAAATTGGTTGGTGGTGCTGGGAAGGGGGGTGTTGCTGTTCCTTCAGAAACGGTCAAGGCAGACGTTAAGGTAGAGGATAAAGTAGAGGGGCGTTATGGTGGGCCAGTGTTGCCTGGAATCCGCTGTATGACGGATATCACTGGGGAGGACGATGCTGCTGATGGCGCTGCTGCTGGTGGTGGTGACTCTTGCGCTGCCACTGCCGCTGGCGCTGCCTTTGCTGATAGTGCTGCTGCTGCTCGTGCTGCTGATAACGCCGGTGCTGCTGCTGCTGCGGTTGGTGGTGGCCGTGGTGGAGAGAAAGCAGATGATGCGGGTCGAAACCGGAGGGACGATGCAGGCCACGGGATGCGAAGGAACAAGTGGGACGAGGGGGCAGGAGTAGGAGGCCCAGAAGCCCGAGGGGCAGATGGGAGCAGCAGGGAGAGCTACAGGAGAGATTCAGACGGTAGCAGGCGTTACAGGGCTGAAGACCCTCCACCCAGGAGGTCGAAATTCTCTGCAGAGCACACTCACAGGTGGGGACGCGGTGGGGAATGGGGAGTGGCAGGGGAGTGGGGAGGAGGAGAGGGGGCGCTGGAGAGGAGAGGTAGCAGGGAGGGACCGGCTGTAGCGCCGTCCTCTGCCCCTGCTACAGCCGCGGCAGGAGGCTCGGGAGGTGCTGGGCCTGGAGGGTTTGGTCCGAACCTGGCCCCTTTTCATGGTCCGGGAGGGGCCCAAGCAGCAGTGGCAGCAGCAGCAGCAGTTGCAGCGGCTGCGGCGGCAGCAGCCGGGGCAGCAGGAGGGACAGGGGGAGCAGGAGGGGGGTATGGTCCTGCTGCTGCTGCTGCCGCCGCTGCCGCTGCCGCAGCAGCAGCAGAGGCTTATGGGTATTCGGGCGGAATGGGAGCAGCTGGGGGAGGGTTTTCTGGGGGAGGCTATATGGGCCGGGGCATGTCGATGCAGCATTTGCATTTTGGTATGGGCCGAACCCCGCCCTCTTGGTTCGGGTCAGGTTCGGCGGCTTGGGCAGCACAATTCCAGGCCTTGCAGATGGGTCGGGGAGCTGGGACGGGTGGGTTTGGTTCGGGTGGGATGGGAGGCATGGCAGGAGGGCATCTAGGCGCGGCAGGGTATGGTTCGGCAGGGTATGGCTCGGCAGGCGAATGGGGTACTCCAGGGGGGGGTAATCCTCATACCTCTGCCCAGATGACGTCACCTCGTTCTGTCGCTGACTCAGCAGCAGCAGGAGAATCCAGGTACACGTCAGCACGAGGTGGCGAGAGAAGGACGAGCGGATTGCAGGCTGTTTTGGGCGGAGGGAGCAGTAATGGTGGTGGAAGGGAGGGTGAGGAGAGAGGGAAGGGCAGGAAGGATGGGGCTGAAGCTGCTGGCCCTTCTCCTGCTTCTCTTGATGCTAGTCCTGCCGCCGGTGCTGCTGGTGCTGCTTCTGGCGGTGTTGGTGCTGCTGCTGGCGCTGCTGCAGTGTGTGCTTCACCAAGCGGGGGGGAGCAAGGGGACCTTCGCAAGTCCACCAGCAGAGACAGTGTGGGCAAGCCAGCTGCAGGAGCTGCAGGAGCTGCAGGAGCAGCAGCAGCAGAGCCATGGGACGCGCATTTGAAGGGTACCAATGCACCCCGATTCCACCCTGGCACGTCACACCGCATGCCAGGGAGCTCATCATTCCACCCTCCCCATGCGCATCCCCATCCGCACCCCCATGGGCATGGGCATGGCAGTGCTGGTTCAGGTGCGCGAGCTCGGGGGCTCAGTGCTGCTGGTCTGTCTAATGCCCCTCCCAGTCGTGCTGCTGCTGCTGCTGCTGCTGCTGGTGCAGTTGGTTCAGGTGGTGGTACTGCTGCTGGTGCTGCTAGTGGTGGCAGTGCCGCTGGTAGTGCCAGTGCTTCTGGGGCGTCCAAGTCCCCTTTGGCTCACAGGCCGTCTATGCCAACGCCATCACGCATGCCCAAGCCAAGGGAACCTGGCAGGGAGCAGGAGAAAGGGCGGGAGCAGGGCGAAGGGCAGCTGAAGAGGAGAGGATCCCTTGGCAGTGCCATTGGCCCTGGCAGCGGCAGTGGTGTTGCTGCTGCTGCTGCTGCTGCTGCTAGTGCTGGTGCTTCTGGTGCTGGTGGTGCTGGGATCGGTGTGATTAGTGGTGGTGCTGGTGCTGGGGTTGGTGGTGGTGGCAGTAAGGAGAGTGGGGTGAGCGCTAGAGGAGAGAGGGGCGAGGGTGGTGCTGCAAGGAGGAAGGAGGTGGGGCACAAGGCTCCGGTGAAAGGGCAGCTGGTGAAGCCGCAGGGGAAGGAACAACAGCAGGTGAAAGCACAGGGGAAAGAGCAGCAGCAGAAGGTGCAGGGTAAAGAAGCAGGTAAGCAGCAACAGCAGCAGCTGGCAAAGACCAAGGAAGAGCCAAAGAAAATGCAGCAGCAGCAGCAAGTCAAGGGAGAGCACAGGGCTGAAGGAAAGGGGGTGGAGAAGGAGGTCAAGGCTCAGTTATCCGCAGCTGCAACAGGGAAGGATGAGGCTCCGCCACAGCAAGCATTACAACTGCTGATAGGGAAACGACCCAGCAAGTGATGGGAGAGGGAAGGGGATGGAGGAGGTGACGATGCAATCAGTGGGGTGGGGGGAGGGGGAGGGGGGGTGGGGTCGTACGAATTGCATTTTCCATGAAGGGATGAAGGGGGTGATGTCGGTTGCGACTGACTGACTGTGTGATATGGAGCATGGATGCCTTCTTAGCATTTGAATATTGACTGTGCTGTAATGCAAATCCTTGTCTGCATGCATAAGCGACCTGTCTGTATTTCAGGTGTGGTTTCTGATGGAGATCTGGAATCCACCTGCAGCCTCCTTCGCCATGCGAGGTCAACCTTGCACTTGGTGGACTGGCCACTGCTCTAAGGGCGTGGAACATCTGGAAAATTTTACAATCGAACGGTACGGTTCGGAAAATTACCGCTCTAAAACGTACTATAACCTACTTAAGCGTAGCCTGTACCAAATAGACCATTTTGAACCGTTCTGACCTTGCGGTTCGTCTGGCTTTTTTTTCAAATGTTCCACGCCCTAATAATGCTCGGTCAGGAAGCAAGCACAAACGTTCAACCAGCTCACTCTTTCAGGGAGGGATGCGTATGATCCAACCTGCCAAAGTCACTTGCGTGTACTAATAATCTCGATCAATAATATAACATTCTTGCTTGTACCATGAGTCAGCGCTGCTCACAATGACTTCATGGCTTCAGAGGCTTCAGAAACAGGCCCGCCGCTGACAAGCATCTGCCATTCGTTGTCTCCTTGAACATTTTTACAAAAACGGCCTCAGAAACGGGCCCAGCAGTAGTCACATTCCGACTCGCAGTCCCCTTCACAGTCAAGCGTGTATCCAAGCACAAGAGGGTTCCGCAGGACCACTCCTCGCAGGGAATCCCCGCTGATCCGCCATTCCCGGTCTAGCTTAGCGACGTTCGGCGTCAGCCGCTTCTCCACGCTGCACGCCAGAACATGGGGGAATTCTCCCAAGTATTTCTTGAAATCCGCATCCTGGAATCTGGCCGTTTCTCGGAGAAAGGAAACAACGGATGAGATTTGATCCGGCGACGGAACGGCATTGACGATCTCGTCTCGCCAGTACGATCTGGCCGTCCATCCGAAAGCTTTTGCGAGCACGGTTTCAGCGGCATCGGTTTCGAGACCAAGGGTTTCAAGCATCCCTCTGCATTCTAGCCATTGCTGCAGCTGATCGCCGGAAAGCTCTTTCGATGGCGACGCAACGTTTGCTGGCTTAGTGCTGGCTCTGCAAACGAGCCTGGCTGCTCTAAGATTGGAATTGGTTGTCAGAGATGGAGGAAGCGCTCCATTATGAGAAATTGACGAGCGGGTTTGTGTAGAGAAGTGAGCTTTGTCGGGTGATCATGCACGCAACGCCGGATGCTGCAACCTGTAGAGCGGCCATTACGACTTCACCTGGTGACAAAGACCTTCACGAAACAGGATAAGGGCTGTGAAAACGAAATGGCGGGTGCGTGACGTAAAAAACCGTGTGTATGTGGAAAGCCAAGAACCCATTGAGGCTGAACGATCAATCTTTCTTTTTCCATGGACTCCTTCCTGATTCCTGAATCCTGATTCTTCCTGAGTGCAGCAAATGCATCCCCGTACTGGCGCTTTTTGTGTGGTTGGACAGGAACGCCCATGACGTGGCGACACCAAAGCCGCAGATTTTGTACATGAAACAGCTGCTTGCTCTGCAACATAGAGAAATACGTGTAGAATGGCAGTGTATTATTTCGATATTATGTGCTTCGATTGTACTAGCCGCCTATTTGACTCTGCTTGACTGTGTAAACCGTGAACAAACAGCTTCCCAGCCAAAGCCAAAACCAACAACCTCGTCTCGGAAGCGCCGCCTTCCAACCAAGGCTAAAATGCAGGCAGGCACCCACCGACCGATCCTGGGCTTGACGCGCCGCGTGTCGAGTTGGAGGTATAAGGCTGCGCAGAAGGTCCTGGGCGCAAGCAGCCAATGCGCAGGGGCGTGACGGTTTGGGGGATGAGCAACTTGCCCCGCCCTGTTGGTTTCGCGCAGCCTCCCCTCCGCTCGGTTGCACGCGTATCCGCCTTGCGCGCGTGCCCATGAGGGCTTTCCATGCTTTGGGCTGCGCAACTGCAACAAAACCGCCCCCATTCGGAAGCCATCTTGGCCGTCCGAAATCTGCTAAACAGTGACAAACGAACGGTTTAGATAAGGCCCATGGTCAGCAGTTCCCAGGGCTACCACAAGGTTGTCGGGCCCTAGGCTTTTCTTGTTTCCCAGCCAACACAACCACACAAGCTGCCTTGCAAGCTGGATGTTAGTTATCTCATGAGTCAGGGCTGGCCTACGTTCTCATGCGTTATCCCGATCAGCCATGCGTTCTCCTTTCATCCTCAACCACGGCTCGCGACAAGCTCTAGTGTAGACAGCACCGTGACACACTAGGTTTCTCGCATTGAACAAGTGCAGCAACCTCGAATAATCAGCCGTTTCGCCATGAAGCATCATGACATTTGATATTCAGGTATCGGGTAGTCTGTTGCTGTCAGGGTCCAGCCCAGAACCATTGCCATCTGGCGAGACGATGCTGAATCTTGAGCATTTCATTCTGAATCTGACGTTTTGACTGACAGGCACTGGCGCTGGAGCGGTGAGCTCTAGGCGTGTTGAATTTCAGCAACGACCAGCACGACGATCAATTGCGGAATACACATATAATTGGCTCAAAAGCGACACCGTCCATTTAATTCCTACGCGTCTGGACTGAGCTTGCGAATTTCAGCAGTCGAACGAAGTGTCTGCCACCAGATTTCACCAGCTTACCTTATCCGTAGCTCTACTTACGAATTCTTCAGGACTTATGAATTCATTCAGCTTCTAAGCTTCAGAATCAGAAAGCTTTTTAGACAGTGCTATGCTTTTGAAGTCTTTGTGTTGATGACGTAGTGTAGCTATCGCTCCATCCGACAGCCGTAGCTCCAAAAGCTCCATTTAATGGCAGTTGGCGTGGCCGAAGACACGAATCTAGCAGCAGGGACGCATATTTAATACCAACGACTGTTGAGGCGTGACGTTGGCGAGTTATTGTAACACTTCGACCGCTCTTTAGTTCGTATCTCGTATTCCCGCCAGCATGCCGTCGTCATCTCGCATTAGAATCAATGTCGGCGGGCAAATCTTCGAAACGTCCCGCGAAACGCTCGAGCTAGCGGGTCGCGGCTCGCTCCTAGGAGCCATGCTGGACCCAGTCTGGGCGTCTCGTGACGCTCGCCGTTCCCACTTTCGCGAATCTGATCGTCAATCTCATCATGACACGTGTCGCTCATCGGGAACTCGCCTGAGACAGATGGCCGAAGAGGAGGAAGACACACCGGAAATCTTTATCGACCGCGATCCGAAGACGTTTGGTGTGCTGCTGAATTTCCTGCGGTCCGGTGTTCTTAATATCCCGTCTGGAGTTACCGTTGATGCGGTGCTTAGCGACGCGGACTATCTCGGCCTGCTGGACGCGGTGAAAGGAGCGCTCCTGCCGCCTGCTCTGGACGCCAATGAGATGCACAGAGTGAGTAACTGAGAATTGCCTCAGAACACAGGTGGTATGTGTGAGGTTGGGATTGCAGTCGTCCCGGTTAAGGCCGCGCTTCTGCCGCCTGCTCTGGACGCCAATGGGATGCACAGAGTGAGTAACTGAGAATTGCCTCAGAACACAGGTGGTATGTGTGAGGTTGGGATTGCAGTCGTCCCGGTTAAGGCCGCGCTTCTGCCGCCTGCTCTGGACGCCAATGGGATGCACAGAGTGAGTAACTGAGAATTGCCTCAGAACACAGGTGGTATGTGTGAGGTTGGGATTGCAGTCGTCCCGGTTAAGGCCGCGCTTCTGCCACCTGCTCTGGATGCCAATGAGGTGCACAGGGTGAGTCTATTGAGGCGCCTCAGAACACAGAGAATGATATAGTCGCCGCCATCAAAAGCCGCGCGCACGCCTGCTCTGGACGGCAATGAGATCCACAGGATGAGCAGGATCTTGTTTTCGCTGTTCTGGATTGTTGTGGGAAAAGAAAAGAAAAGAAAAGAAAAAAAAAAAAATCTCAGGTCAGGGCGAGTAGGCTCTCTTTCCGTTGAGTTAATGTACACGTTGATTCAAGGCAATCACTGTAAGAAGTCCGCTGCTGGCATGTGCATGGGCCTTGCAGGGCGTGACGACCTTCTAAGCACCTTTCCCACTTTACACCTTATTTTCGTCGAACTTTCACCCCGTCTAGTCTTGAGATGTCTCAGTACTAAAACCTAAGGGCGCGTGTCCTCGAGGTCGAACTTTTGCCAAAGTTCGAACTTCTAGAAAGGTTGTACACGGTAAAATACAGTTGAGAGACATGTCACCACGGTACAAAGCGGTATAGGCTCGAACTTTGACAATCTACACCAAAAGACACGCGCCCTAATATATCCACCTCTCCTCCCCACTCCCCCCTCCTTCCTCCCACAACCCCCTCCAATCCCCCTTGCCCCACCCTCCGGTCAGATGTCTGTTCTTCGCCCCAACGTGGGCCCTGCTGACGTGTGCACGGCACTGGCCGCGCATGAAGACGGCTCTGTTGACGTGGCACATGGCGCCCGTGTGACGTGTTATGACTGGATGCTGCGTCACACCGCCACCATCATCACCGACCTTCCCCAGGTGGGTAAATGGCAGTGGCATTAACGTTCCGCAGAACCTGCTTTGCGCTTATGTTGTGGATTCTATGGGTGGGCCGGGTGAGTATAGCACCAAGGGAGGGGTGTAGCAGGGATGTGGGAGGGGTATGGGAGGGATGCGGGAGAGCTGAATTGCGCCCCATGTGCGGCACACACACAGTGATAATTTCTCACACACAGGCTTGTGACAACTCATGCTCTCTCCCACCACCATCCCCTCCAATCACTCCCTGCCAGGTGGACACAATCTGCCGGCTGTCAGAGTCTCGGATCATCGTGGGGGGCGGCAAGGGCTGTTATCATCTGCCCATCTACGACACACGGGGTTACGACAACACATCAAACACACTAAGCACATTTGACCAAGATAATTTCACATCGCCCTTTCCTTTCTCCTATGGCTCCTCATATACCGCCTACCCCTCGCATTCCCCTTACTCCTCCCCCTACTATTCGTCCCTCTCTAATTCCCAGACCACTTACGGTTCTCCTGCTGCCCTCCCATCCCTCTCCCCCTCCTCACTCTCCTCCTACACTCCCTCTCCCTTGACCCTCACCCAACCTCCCCCCTCCTCCTCCATCTCCCCCATCATCCTCCCCCAATCTGCCTCCCATTACCCAACCCCCACCACCAACCCCCTCTACTCTCCCCCTCTCCCTCCATCCCTCCTCCCCTCCACCTCACCCTACGCCTCCCCTTACTCCACCTCCCCCTTCCCCCCAACCTGCAAAATCGGCTCAGTGGCCCTTAGAGGGGCCTCCCATCCTTCGTTCCGCTCCATAGTTCAATCGGACCGGTTTCTATTTGTGGCAAGTCTACGGAAAACTCTAGGGGTGGAGTGGGGGGTGGGGAAGGCGGTAGGGGTGGTGGATCGGGGCACGCTGCAGAGCGTGGGGGAGGCCGGGCCGGCGCCCATCACCACCAGGCGCATGGGCGGCCCTGATAAGCTGCAGTGGCTGCCTTCCAGGAACCTTCTCATGGTCGTGCGCCGATACACCCGTGAGTCGACCACTATCTGACGCGTGCCGTGTTCTGGATAAGGAGGGTGCGTAATGGGGACATAGGAGGACAATGTAGGGCAGTGGGTGGAGCAAGAGTGTGGGTTATGGAAGAAGAACAGGAGTGGAGTGTGGAGCAAGAATGGAATTGGGCAGTTGAATTTGTGATAGTGCCACCCCACCTGGTTGACTTTTGAGTCGACTCAACGTCACCTCGAATTTGTGATAGTGCCACCCCACCTGGTTGACTTTTGAGTCGACTCAACGTCACCTCGAATTTGTGATAGTGCCACCCCACCTGGTTGACTTTTGAGTCGACTCAACGTCACCTCGAATTTGTGATAGTGCCACCCCACCTGGTTGACTTTTGAGTCGACTCAACGTCACCTCGAATTTGTGATAGTGCCACCCCACCTGGTTGACTTTTGAGTCGACTCAACGTCACCTCGAATTTGTGATAGTGCCACCCCACCCCACCTGGTTGCAGCGCAAGTCCCACAGGTACAGGTAGGATGTACTCTCACCACTGCCTTGAACTCCAACTGTTTACACGATGAGAAAGCACAAGGATGTGGATGTGAACAGGAATGCAGGGAAGGATAAGCAACAAAGAGGAAGAATGAGGTTTGTCGAATTCACGCCAGTCCCACTCCAGCTGGTTGCAGCGCGGGTCCTACATGTGTAGGTAGAATGGACTCGCAGAGCAGGATGAGGAGTAAATCTTACCTGCGCCTGTGGGAACCACAATGCAACCAGCTAGTGTAGAATTGGTGTGAATTCGATGACCCTTCACCCTCCCTCGTCCCATCCGATCGCAATTGTCCTCTCTTTGATGCCACTGCTTGCCAATCCCTCTCCCTGCACCTCAAAGGCTCCCCTTTCCTTCTCACCCTTCCCTCCTCCCATTCCCATTCCCAAACCTGGTGCTTCCATCATGTAAACAGCCGAGGCTCAGGGGAGCAGTGAGGAACCAGTTTAACTGCGCCTGTGGGACTGGTGCTGCAACCAGCTGGTGTGGGACTGGCGTGAGTTCAACAGTCCTGCTCAAATCCCTCCTCTCGTGCTTCCTCGTGCATTCTCGCTCTTTTTCTTTCTCTACCCGTGTAAACAGCTAGCGTGCAGGGAGGCTCCGAAGGCCCGTCCTACCTACGCCTGTGGGACCCGAGATGCAACCATCTGGTGTGGGACTGGCGTGAGTTTGACGACCCACAGCCCTCCCTCGTCCCCTCTGACCGTTGGTGTGCTCTCTGCGACGCCACTGCCTGCGAAGACCTCTCCCTCCTCCTCAAAGCCTCCCCTTCCTCCCCGGACTCCTCCTCCCGCCTCTCTGCTTTTGACCTGAGGAAGCTACCTCTGCCTGGGACTGGGAATACGCCTAACGCTTTTGTTTCGGTTCCTAGTGGTGCTGGTGGTGCGGTTCAGATGGGTTCTGGGCTAGGGTTTGCTGGTGATGATGGTGCTGGTGCTGGCAGCAGTGCTGCTGCCGCTGGTGGTTTATATGTTGGTGGGGGTGGCAGCGGCAGCACTGTTGGCACAGCAGCACAAGCAACAGCAGCAGGAGGAGCAGGAGCAGCAGGAGGAGCAGGTTTAGGGTCATATATCACAGGAACACCCACAGATACCTCAACAAGCAGTAGCAGTAGAGGGTTTGGGAACATCTATCGCGCATCAGTATCCGGGCCAGTGCCAGTAGCAGGAGGGCCGGTTCCCTCCATAGGACAAGACAGCTGGACCGTCATGCAGTGGCAATCCCCTGACTCGCTCCGGATTGGCGGAACCAGCTTGCAGCGGGACTCGGGCAGAGTCGAAACGAGCACGATTCGCCTGCTCGTTGTCCCGGGCAGGTCGCAGATCGTTTGCAACCGCTGCCCGTCGCTGGAAGTGTGGACGCCGGTCAGCAATCCGTTTGTGCCTGTTGCCACGGGGAGGCTGTCTAGATGGGCTTCTTTAGACGAGGAGAAGTTGGGGAGTTTTCTGTCAGTGGGTGGGGGACTGGGGGGAATCGGGGAAACAGGGGGGATAGGGAGAGTCGGAGGTGCGGGAGGGGGTGGAGGAGGGAGGGGGGAGGATGTGTTGGGTGGGTACCCGAGAGGGGCTTTAACTCCTGGTTCTCTTTCTGCTGCAGCTGCAGCTGCAAGAGGGTTTGAGCCGCCGCCTGTAGATGGTAACGGAGCGCGCTATACAGGGGATGAAGTGGCAGCTGGGGTGAGGCCAGTGGGAGGGGGAGGAGGGGAGGGTGCCGCAGCACCTGCTGCTGCTGGTGTTGATGCTTTGTCCTCTGCTGTTGCTGGCGCTAGCACTGGTGCTGCAGGTGGCAGTAGCAATGGAAACAGTGCAGCAGCTGCTGCTGCTGCTGCTGCTGCTGCTGCTCCTCCTCCCACACGGTTCGACCCATACTCCTTCCGAAGAGCCTATGGGGACACCATGGGTGAATATCAGAGGCGGCGGGTAAACTTCGAAGCGCCACCGGATCACTGGGTGTACGACATGTCATTTGGTGGGAACAGGCTGTTTCTGGCTCGGGACGATCAACGGCCAGGAGGTTCGGGGCTAGGTTCGATCGAGGTTTGGGAGACCCGAACGAATCACAGAGTGGTTCCTTGAAGCAAGGACTTGTTGTAAACGAGAGGGAGGGGGAGGAGAGAAAGGGGAGGAGGGGAAAAGTGGGGGAGGGTGGGTTGTGGAGAGGGAAAGATGATATGCGCCTGTGCATGCACCTTGAGAAGGTGTGTTGTTGTTTCATTCGTGCTTTGTTCAGAAGGGCTTGATTTTATTTTCCTATTGGGGTTCGGCTGGGGGTGGACGTTTGAGGCTCTAAAAGGTGCTCCTATGGTTTGTGCTGTAAGAAATCCGAGATGAATGTATTCTACCGTATGGTGCTTCCGTATGGGGAGGTGTAAAACTCTACCTCAGGGCTCTCATCCTTCCCATATGTAGAAATGCTTGTTGTATCAAGCTTTTCAATAGGCACCTTCCATCCTCTCTCTAACATCGCTTCCAGGCATCCAGTCACAACACATTTAACCAATGTGCACGGTACACCACAGCACAACTTCAGCTCTCCAGCTCTTAGGCACGTGCTTTCATAATATACTGAACTACACAGTGTGCTTTCTTAGTACACACTGTACAGGCTCATTTAGCTTGACAGAGCATAACAGATCAGTTCTTTATTCCCAGTGATTGCATGAACACAGAATACGACGACTCAAGGTCAAAGCTTAGCTGTCTGGCCTGTTCCTCCGAAAGCTCATCGCTAGCAGCCATGCCATTAAGTCGCACAAGCCAGTCCCTGACCTTGGTGCGGCCTTCGAATTCAGCAGGTAACGAGGGCACACTGCAGAGGGAGTTGAGCAGCAGCGAGAGCAGTGGATGCACCTGAAGTGGGAGAGGAGAGGGGGAAAGAAGAGGGCGAATGAATTGCTAGCAGCCATGCCGTTAAGGCGCACGAGCCAGTTCCGGACCTTAGTGCGGCCTTCGAATTCAGCAGGTAGAGAGGGCACGCTGCAGAGGGAGTTGAGCAGCAGCGAGAGCAGCGGATGCACCTGGGGAGAGAGGGGAGTGGGGGGAGGAGAGAGAGGAAGGAGAGGGCGGGGGGGGGGGGAAGAGGGGTTTGAGGAAAGTGATGTGTGATAGAGAGGGGGCTGAGGGGAGTGAGAAGGTCTCAAACTCGGCTGGTAGAGAGGTCACGCTGCAGGGGAGAGTCGAGGAGCAACGAGAGCAGCGGGTGTACCTGGGGGGGGAGAGAAGGGGGAAGCAAGAAGGGAGCGGAAAGCTCTATCACAAGAAGCATTGCCGTGCTGCTGCAGAGGGAGGCGAGGAGCAGGGAGAGCAGCGGGTGCATCTGGGGGTCCAATGGGTGGAAGGGGGAGCGGGAAAAGGGGACGGAAAGGGGAGGGGGGAAAAGGGGAGCGGGGGGGGGGGGGGGGGGGAAGGGAAGAGGGGGGGGGGGGGGGGGGGGGGGGGGGGGAGGGGAGGGGATGGGAATGCTTACGTGGTCCACAGAGTGCATATTTAGCTTGACTGTGTCCATAGCAACATTAGAGGAACACAGAGAGTCATCAGAACTCCAAATGCTCAGGATTTCCAGCTGTTTACCTGATCCACCGCGAGCATACTCAGCTTAACAGAGTCCATAGCCGATTTACAGTAACACAGAAGAGTCATCAGAACTCCCAGTGCTCAGGATTTGCAGCTGTTTACCTGATCTACGGCGAGCATATTGAGCTTGACAGTGTCCATAGCCGTTATAAAGTGTTGCACCGTCTCGGCCACCGCTACAGTCGCACTACCGCTCTCCACCGTAGCAGATTTATGCTCCACCGTTGCCGGAACCCCGGCCACCAGCAGCCTGTTCTTCGCTGCAGGACAGTCCATCTTGTAAGTTGTCATGAATCGCTCTATATCGGGTACGGCGCTCTGCAGCGCGGTGCGAAGCGTCCGAAACTGACCAATCAGCTTTGCGCAAGCGGGCTCGTAATCCGCGGGGGAGATCAAATCGCGGACGTACGCCTTTTCGAGCTTCTCGGTAGTCTTTATAATCGCGTATAAATCAGCGAAGCTCTCGTACTGCTCTCTCTCCGCATCACCCTGCCATAGAGGGATTTCAGACGCTCCACCTCCCCCGGAAATCCCGGAGCCTCCTAGCCCCGCTCGCGTACCGTATGTCGCCATATGTGCCTATAACGAAGGCGGCCTGTACCGATGCTATAGTGAACTCGGGTTATCGCTGTACTGAATGGTGCTTCAACGAGGTTGTTGGCACCTTACGGAGCCGAGAAGAGGATACACGAGCATGTGCGTGTGAGTGTGAGTGTGATGTGAAGTAAACTCTCCTAACAAAGACGATCGGCATCTCTCCTAGCCTAGAGAGACCTAGACTCACATTTACAGTGCTTTCGTTCTTGTATCGTGGCTCAGGACGGTTCCACACGGTGAAAAGCGGTTTACGGTTTGCAGTTTTACACTGCGACGTGAGAGAGGGTACAAGTAAAACAATTACAATTAACGCAATCAGTTTAATAAAATTACAAATATTAGACATGTCGATGTAGTATAATGGTCAGTATCTCCGCCTGTCACGCGGAAGATCCGGGTTCGATCCCCGGCATCGGCGGTTTTGCTTTTGGCTGATGCCACGGTAGATGCTGGGATGAGGGTTGAAAAGCTTGTGGAAAGCTCCAATCCTAAATGCTGGTTGCTCTTGCAGCCCCCTCTGCCCTTCTGAGTTGAGGGTACAATCTGTGGTAATGTGTCAAACAGCATTCACCCGTGCACCACAAATTGCTGCAAGCACTAGCTTTTGCTAAATCATGCACCACTCTCAAGAAGTGTGGATGATGCATGGTATGTCTACTGTACACAAGGGCTTGACACGAAAAAACTAGAATCTAACCTTGTGTGCGCCCATTAAAAGATACATGTCAGATGATAACACGGCAGATGCTGACGTAACATATTGTAGTGCACGGATGCTGATGTGGCAGATGATGATGGGGCAAATGCTGACATGGAGCTAGAAGTTAAGGTACTGTTGAAAGTAGACACACGTTTGAGGGGAGATTATGCCTCCATCCGAGCACTCGTTGATCACCTGCATTTGTGACAATAGAGAAGGGAGCGACAGAAAGAAAACGACTAAACAAAGAACAACCAAGGGACCAAGGGAAGAACGAAGGAAGAGACCCAGAAACTTATACTTACAGGGCAGACGTAAAAAGAATCCATACTAACAGGGCACACCCCGCAGGGTATGTTGGTGAATGCAGATGTATGAATGAGGGGCACCCAAACCAGAAAAAAACACAACCATTTATGAATACACATACAACACCATAATGAAATCACTCACAGGGCAGACACCGCAGGGTATGTTGGTGAATGCAGATGATTCTGGAGCTCGAGACCTCGATGGCCGATACACCTCGGCTCCCTGGCAGGTGGGGTATGGTGAAGAGAGGTGACAGGCGGAGGAGAGGTATGGGGGACGGTATGGAGGTGTGGGAAAGGCAGAGGCGTGTGAAAACACTTCAGGCAGGGGCGTAGGCAGAGGGGTAATTATCCATTCGTTCAAACAGATTTAAGTAGATGGCTGAGATCGAGCAGAGGCGAACAAACATGCGCGGAGTCAATTGTTGAGGCTCCTCAAAAACTACGTGTGACTAGGACACGGGCCTAAGGTACACACATGCTGACTACAGGGACCTTCTTTTTCACCATGGGGAACCGTGAGTGCTTGCCAGAGCCGGTGCTGATCACTGCTGACCTCAAAAAGTGACTTCTGATTTTTGAGTCGAATAAAACTGCTCACCACGGGGAACCGCGAGTCCTTGCCAGAGCCGGTGCTGATGAACACGTCTAGCTCGCGATCAAAGACAAGTGTGCTGATGACCTGGTGTGTTGTGTGTGTGGGGGGGGGGGGGAGGGTGGGTAAAGGGGGTATGATTGGATTGGATGAATGCGTGTGGCGTGTGGCGTGTTGCTTGCAGCCAATTCTGATGAGCACGTCTCGCTCGGGCGAAGACAAGAGTGCTGATGACCTGGTGTGTTGTGTGTGTGTGTGTGGGGAGGCAGAGCGGGAGGAAGGTGAGAGCCTTTGCCGGAGCCAGTGCGGATGAAGACGCCTAGCTCGCGATCAAAGACAAGTGTGCTGATGACCTGGTGTGTTGTGTGTGTGTGTGCTAAAACTCTGCTCCCCAACCCACGTTCCCCCCATCTCCCCTCACCCGACGAAAGCCCATTCTCGCGTCCTCTCGCCCTCCACTGCCAGCCCTCCTCACTGCCTCCATTGCTGGGCGGAGGAGGGCGATTGAGTCAACTCAAACCGCCGACCATCACAAGGAGACACGACCTACGTTGCTAAAAACGAGTACCGAGTATAATACGTTAGCGTATTATACGCTTGGTATATACCCGGTACGCCAAGGCTGGCGTACTGCTGATACGCAAAAATACGCTGGCGGGCAGCTAAAACTTTTTTTCCCGGGCAGGTATAAAAAAACCTGTTTCAGGGGGGGGGGTTCAGGCCGACAACAACACATGTCAATATTTTATTTCCCACCCTCTAGACGCGTGAAAAGAAGCTACATTGCTCGTCGCGCTAGGAGGGGTGGAGTTCGACGCCATGGGGCGCGACTAAGGAACGGCAAACTGCTTGAGGAAAACGGGAGATCAGAGCTCGGGAATGAAATTGAGGAGGAGAGAAACGAATGAAGGATAGGAAGGCGTCAACGAGTAAATGCTCACATGACGTGCTGGACATTTGAGAGGGGTGGTTGGATATGAGAGGTTTGGTGGGGTGGTGTGTGGTTGGGGTGGTGGGAGGTTTGGATTCTGAAATTTGAATTTCAGACGTGGATTGGGCGATGTGCTTGGTCGCGTAACCAGTCGCGAAGCCCTAAGAACCGTCGCAATTTTTTTTCAAATTCGATTTTTTTTTTTCGCCGGGCTGCCCGCGCGTTTTTTCACGAATTCGAAGCGTATTAGCGTACCACGTACGTACGCAATCGTATATACGTGGTACGCCACCCTACCCAGAGCGTATTTGGCAACGTAGACTCCCCTCATCTCCTCTTCTCCTTTCATTCACCCACCTGTCTAAAATCTTCCATTCTCAGGTCCTCTCGACCCCCACTGCCAGCCCTCCTCACGGCCTCCACCACTCCTTCGAGCGTATCGCCTCCCTGCCCGCAGACAGGGGGAGAAGAGAATGTGGAAAAAGAAAAAGGAGAAAGGGAGGAACATAAGAGTCTGCCCCCACTGCCTGCACTCCTCACGGCCTCCACCACCCCTTCGGGAGTATTCCCTCTCTGCACAATGGGGGGTGCGGGGAAGGAGAAAGGGAAGGACATAAGAGTTTGCTCCCGCTGTCGGCACTCCTCACGGCCTCCACCACCACTTCGAGCGTATCCCCTCCCTGCCCACAGCAGGGAAAGAGGAAAGAGGAAACAGGGAAAAAGACAATAGGGAAAGGGTAAAAAAGAAGAGAAAGGGAAGGGCATAAAAGTATCACCACCCCACTGGCAGCCCTTCTCACTGCCTCCACCACCCCTTCGGGAGTATTCCCTCCCTGCCCGCAGACAGGGAAGAGGGAGAAAGCCGGTCGCCACAATGAGAAAGAGGGACGCAGGGCCATACAAACAGCACCACGTACGAACAAACAGTAAACGCATAGCCATTGTGCACAACGCACCAGCCTTAAGGCACAGCTGCCTTAAAGCCTGGATGAATACGGCATCGAATTCAGCAACAGTGTACCACATGCCTCCTGTCACCTCCCTCCCTCCCTCAGCACGCGAGGATAGAGAGAGACAAGCACGTACCAGCTTGACAATGTGCGTCAGGCACAGCTGCCTCAAAGCCGAAATAAACTCGGCATCAAACTCCGCATCGGTGTACCACGCGCCTCCTGTCACCTCCCGGGACGGCTCGAGCTCATATAGCATGTAGAGCTTGCGACTCTTGTTCTGCGAGAAAGCATAACCACAGAGCGAACAACAAGCACAGGGAGCACAGAGATCAGGGGGAAGCATGAGGTATGGTACCGGCATCAGAGCATCGGTGTACCACGCGCCTCCTGTCACTTTCCTGGATGGCTCGAGCTCATACAGCATATAGAGCTTCCGACTCTTGTTCTGCGAGAAAGAAGAACCACAGGGTGTAGAGGAAGCATACGGAGCTGGGGGAAACATAGGGGAAACATGAGGTAAGGTAATGGATCAGCATCGGTGTACCACCCCCCTCCTGTCATCTGCAGAGACTCATGTTGACCAGTTTGACTGCCTTGATCAGCTTCCTGCCCTCCAGCATCTTCATGACCTTGGTGATCTGCAGCTGATGGGTTGACTGCTTTGACTCACACTGACTGACGTTGACGATTTTGACTCACGTTGGCCGACTTGACTGCCTTGATCAGCTTCCTGCCCTCCAGCATCTTCATGACCTTGGTGATCTGCGGCTGCTGCAGGTTGACTGCTTTGACTCACATTGACCGGATTCTCTCACGTTGACCGACTTCACTGCTTTTATCAGCTTCCGCCCCTCCGGCGTCTGAGTGATCTGTGCCTGCTAGTTTTCGTGGTTCATGCTGACTGCTTTTAACTTACGTTGACCGGCTTGACTGCTTTGATCAGCTTCCTTTCCTCCAGAGTCTTGATGATCTTGGTGATTTGCGGCTGCTGGGTTGACTGCTTTGACTCGCCTGGTCCGACATGACTGCCTTGTCTCATACTGGCCTGGCCGCCTTGACTCACACTGACCGACTTGACTGCACTGCATAATATTGACTGCTTTGACTCACATTAACAGACTTGACTGCCTTGATCAGCTTCCTGCCCTCCAGTGTTTTTATGATCTTGGTGATCTGCGGCTGCTGCAGGTTGGTGCGAGTCTTCATGTCGCGCGTCCAGATGCCTGTCAGGGGGAGCAGAAAAGAGGGCAGATGGGAGGGGAGGCCACAAGGAGGAAAGGAAGAATGCTGCAGGTTGGTGCGAGTCTTCATGTCCCGCGTCCAGATGCCTGTCAGGGGGAGCAGAAAAGAGGGCAGTGACAAAAATACTAGCTTGAGTTTGGCTTAGAAGCCATAGTTTAGGTGCCTTAGTAGTTTAGGTTTTAGGGTGTAAGGTGAATGTCGAGAAAGTTGAGAAGGAGAATGATGTCACTAGCAAGAGTTGGGATACAAGTACACCACCCTAATTGGGTTGTACTCATTACAGAGTACCCCACTGCAGGCTAGACAGCAAATACATTCTGACACACCCCCATAGCCAAAGTGGGGTGTAATCAGTACAATAAGCAAGCATAGAGCAAGAGTTCACAATAGGTAAGTAAGGCTAGAGCTAATCACAGAGGGCAAGTGAGGAGGAGGAGAGACCGTGGGGGGGAGAAGATGGGAGGCGACTGCTGAAGCTGCAGACACACAGACGAGCTGCTGGCTCAGTGGCTACCGGAACAGCGCTCCGGACTACTGGGGTAACTGGCCCCGCGGCTAAAAGTAGCGGCAGACGAGCAACGGACCCACGGGCGACTGGCAACTACCGGAGATTGTAGCCTCCGGACTGCTGCTGCTGCTGACGACAAGACTGCTGCCTCCACTCAACCTCCCCAGCTGCCTAACGCCCCTCTCACACACCCCCTGCTCAAACCCTAGCCCTACACCCACAGCACCCCCTTAAACCCTAAACCCCAGACTCCCACACATCCACCCCCCTCAGCGAGAGCTGCAGCAGTGGGAGACGAAGGAGGAGGAGGAGGAGGGGACGGCACGCACAACCGACACCCCACAACCAGCACCCCCACACCCACCCCCCCACGGCTGCACCGGGTCCAGGAGCGGCTGCTGCAGGGGCCAGGGGCGGCTGCTGCAGTGGCGGTCGCTCCCGGGGCTGCTGCTGCTGGGGCGGCTGCTCCAGGGGCTGCTGCTGCTGGGGCGGCTGCTCCAGGGGCTGCTGCTGCTGGGGCGGCTGCTCCAGGGGCTGCTGCTGGGGCGGCTGCTCCAGGGGCTGCTGCTGCTGGGGCGGCTGCTCCAGGGGCTGCTGCTGCTGGGGCGGCTGCTCCAGGGGCTGCTGCTGCTGGGGCGGCTGCTCGCTGTAGTGGCGGCGGCTCCAGAGGCTGCTGCTGCTGGTGCGGCTGCTCCAGGGGCTGCTGCTGCTGGGGCGGCTGCTCCAGGGGCTGCTGCTGCTGGGGCGGCTGCTCGCTGTAGTGGCGGCGGCTCCAGCTGCTGCTGCTGCTGCTGCTGCTCCAGGGGCTCCCGAGAGCGCCTCGACGGGCGCCGGGAGGGGACCGCGCGCGGGCCCCGAAAGCGCCGCGACGAGGCGACGGGAGAGGCCTGCGTGCGGGCCCCCAAAACGCCGCGACGAGGCGACGCTCGGGGCCGGCGCGCAGGCCCCCAGGACGCCGCGACGAGAGAGGAACCCGCCGCGCGCTTCGGGGCGCACAGCGGGTAGAAAACCGCCACGCGCCCCGAGCGCGTGGCGGGAAGAAAAATAGGAGGTCGCGAGCCACGGGGCGCGCGACACACAGTAGGGCAGCGGAAGTAAGTGGGCCCACAGGCCAGGAGCGTTAAGCTCTGATAACATGACAAAATACTAGCTTGAGTTTGGCTTAGAAGCCATAGTTTAGGTGCCTTAGTAGTTTAGGTTTTAGGGTGTAAGGTGAATGTCGAGAAAGTTGAGAAGGAGAATGATGTCACTAGCAAGAGTTGGGATACAAGTACACCACCCTAATTGGGTTGTACTCATTACAGAGTACCCCACTGCAGGCTAGACAGCAAATACATTCTGACAGGCAGATGGGAGGGGAGGCCACAAGGAGGAAAGGAAGAATGCTGCAGGTTGGTGCGAGTCTTCATGTCGCGCGTCCAGATGCCTGTCGGACATACGAGGATAACAAGGGAGAAGAGATGTAAGGAGCCAGCCAGATAGGGTAACACCCACCCAGCAGCACCGCAAGCACCAAGCAGGCAAACCGCTTACACTGCAAGAAGCAAGAGAGAGCAAGAGTGCATGCATACCTGCGTTGCCTGCTTGCTTGATGGCTCGATAGAGCAGGAGATACCTTGAGCTCAACCCCTTGAAAGGAGCAAGCAGCAAGCAGCACACAGCAAGAAGCACGCTGCAAGCAGCACACAGCTTGATGGCTTGAAGCAGATCTTCTGGGCTCAACCCCTTGATAGCAGCAAGACAGCGCGGGTAAATATGTGTTTTGTCTGCTTCCCTGCATACCTGCGTAGCATGTTTGCTTGCTTACCTGCATTGCCTGCTTGCTTGATGGCTTGATACAACAGAAGATCTTCTGGGCTCAAACCCTTGAACCTGGTGGGATGGGGACACAGAGGAGGCTGGAATTTCAGGTTTGGAATGACAGGTATGGAAAGGGAGGCATGGAATGGCAAGCATGGAACGGGAGCTGTGAAAACTGATGTAGGGAATGGCAGTCATGGAATGACAGGTTTGAAATGACAGGTTTGGAATGACAGGTTTGGAATGACAGGTTTGGAATGAAAGGTTTGGAATGACAGCAATGGAATGAAGGGTGTGGGGAATGGAGGCATGGAATGGGAGGTTGGAAAGGGAGGGAGGCATGGAAGCAGCAGCAGTCACACCACCTGGTCTTGGCACACGTGCTTGTACGAGAGCTTGCCACCTGACTTTAGGTAACATGTTACATTGCCCCGTTTCAGGTGGCATGTTACATTGCTGCATTCTAAAATGGTTACATTGCATGATTGTTACACAGCCATATCGTCACCACCAGCTGCACTCACTGCACGGCTTGGTCTTGGCTGACGTGCTTGTACAGGAGTGTGTTTACCCAATGTGAGGTGGCACGTCACTCACATTGCCCCGTTGTTTGTTACGTACATTACATCCCCATATTGTCATATTACATTACATAATGTACTCACATACAGTCATATTACATTACATAATGTACTCACATACAGTCATATTACATTACATAATGTACTCACATATTGTCATCAGCAGCACTCACCGCACAGCTTGGTCTTGGCTGACGTGCTTGTACAGGAGCGTGTCACCTGATTTGAACAGCTGAAGCGCTCTCTAAAGAGGATAAAACACAGTGGAGGGGGATATGGAGAGAGAGGGAGGGGGGAGGAAACGGACAGATTGAGGCGCACAAAAGAGGATAAGCAGATTGCAGAGGGAGTCGAGGGGAAAGAGGGTGGGTTGGGTTGGGAGACGATGAAGGGGGATGGCAAGAACAATAACGTCTTGCAGCAGCCAATCAATGGCACTGGCACACCAGCAATCATACGCATGCACACAACCTCACAAAAAGTAACACACAGACACAAGAGACGTACCTTTTGCAGCAGCAAACAACCACAGAGGCAAGAGCCGTTCCTTTTGCAGCAGCCCATTGATGGCTGGCGTTGACTCGGTGACTCGGTCAGCCAGAGGCACACACACATCCCCAATCGGCCACAATCGGCCAGAGGCACATTTGCATCCCCAATCATACACATGCACGCACACAACCACACACAACCGCAAACAACCACACAGACAAGAGCCATACCTTTTGCAGCAGCCCGTTGATAGCGTTGACTCGGTCAGCTAGAGGCACATATGAGAGCTCCGACTCGAGAATCTTATCCGATAGACCCTGGATTGGATTCGGTGGGGTGGATTGGAATGGACAGCACTGAGGCAGACAAAGGGCATAACATCGGGGCATTCAAAGACCAGAGGCACGTATGAGAGCTCCGACTCGAGAATCTTATCCGATATACCCTGGATTGGATTCGATTCGAATCGAAATGAGGCGAATAATGAGGCGTTGACAGCGATGACAGCGATGACAGCTATGTAAATTGCATTGCATTGATTATAGCGCTTTCTCAGAATATAGCATGTCATCTGTACCTCGGGGTTCTCCTGGCACAGCTCCAGAATGCTCTTCTCCAGCGACGACAGCGATGACCCCGCCATTGCTTCCTCGCAGCCGCTTCCGAGCCTCCTAGCTTCCGAGCCTCCTAGATTCCGAGCCTCCAAGCCGCCTCCTAGCTTCCGAGCCTCCAAGCCGCCTCCTAGCTTCCGAGCCTCCAAGCCGCCTCCTAGCTTCCGAGCCTCCAAGCCGCCTCCTAGCTTCCGAGCCTCCAAGCCGTCTCCTAGCTTCCTAGCCTCCAAGCCTACAAGCCCCCGAGCCTCCTAGCCTCCCAAGCCTCCAAGCCTCCTAGATTCCCTCCTGGCCTCCTAATCTCCAAGCCTCGTAGCTGCCAAGTCTCCTAGCCTCCTAGCTTTCCCCCCCTTTCCCCCCCCTTCTAAAATGACTTTTTAATTAATTAAGAGAACAAGCTTCCTAGCCTTCTAAACTCCTAGCCTCCTGGCAATCCCCCCTCTTCTTGTCCCTCCCTCCCTCCTTTTTCCCCTCCTCCTACTCCTACTCCTCCCCCCCTGCTCCTCGGTACCCCCTGATTTTCTCAAATTCGTCTCACTCTCCCAGCCTTGGCTGAATTCACGGAGAACAAAAAACTCATTCGCTGCTGCCAGAACCGAGGGCTCGCTCGCCTGCTGCCTGGCCGACCGTCTTGACGGCCCGCGCGCAGCCTGGCCGACTGTGCTGACGGTTCGCGTGCTGCCTAGCCGACTGTGCTGACGGTTCGCGTGCTGCCCGGCCGACTGTGCTGACGGTTCGCGTGCCGCCCGGCCGACTGTGCTGACGGCTCGCGTGCCGCCCGGGCGACTGCGACTCAGCCAGCACGACTGCCCGGTAAGGCACTGTGCTATCAATGCCCTGACAGGTAGCTGTAAGACTCCGTCCGAACGAACTGCCACTTCCCGTCCTGACCGCCCCGATTGTTCTGGCCGATCGGCCTGAGACTCCGAAAACACGGAAAGCGGCTGGGGTGTAGGCGAAAGGGCAAGAGACGTGTTTACCAATGTCGGCAACCTAGCAGGACACGAAATCGGGAGTTAACGCGGGTTTTCGCCCGGCGCGCCGACGACGGAAACAGACGTGGCGGGGGGAGCGGGAGAATCGGTGAAGGAACAAGGAATGAGAGCTTCGGAACCATTTGGGCGGCTGACCTATGGTTGAGTAGTTGTATTTGTTTAATTAAGCACTAGACGTTTCACTTACAGGATTTGCAAGATTTATTTCTCTGGCTAAACAATGTTTCAGTTGCTCCTGCTTCAGCCCCTTTCCCGCGCAGCTGAAAAATGGTTTCACTCTGAACTTGCAAAATGGAGCTGAATTCGGAAAGCTGAACTATAAAACACATTATATGAATTTGTGAACAAGACTCTGTACACCGCCGGGCTTGCTCCACTCCTACGACCGCGGAAAACCCGTTACAAGCTGACATGATGCATCCCATCCCATCACATCAAAACACGTCAATCTCTAGGTGGAGAAATTAGGGAAGCTAGTACGCATTTTTCGATTTAGTCTAATAATCACCAAAAAGCTATACGATTAGGGTTTACTTTCTTCACCACGTGCTTAGCCCACTTTAGCGTCCATGGCGACAATGGCGGGTAGCAATGATTCGGACGCAGCAGCTGAGCCCTCCGCGTCCGCCGCTAACGAACCCGCGAGCTTCGACGCGGCTCCAGCCTCGTTTCAAGAAGCCCCATCCGCGTTTCAAGATTCCTCGTCAAACGCAGATGGTGGATCAAATCAGGTGCCGGAATCTTCCTCGCAGGGACCAACGGGGTCCTCCATCGGACCTGACTCGGCGACGTATACCGGCGAACCGGCAACATTCAATAACGAATCTGCAACGTATAACGGCGACTCGGCGACGTATAATAACGAACCTGCACCGTATACCGGCGAATCGTCGACCTACGGTACAGATTCGTCGCAAGATCAGATCAGAGACGGAGGAGGATCCGAATCAGATCCCAACCTTCCATCGTCCTTATCCGTCTCTTCCAGCCTCCCAGCGTCCCTATCCGCATCCTCCCCATTTCCCGCCGTAATTGCTCCCCAAGGAATCAGCCCCGCTCCCTACCCTCCCCAGAACATGGCGCTCTCTCAGCCTAGCCCGGGTCCGCAGGCCGTTCCTGTAACGAACGTGATCTCTCCTTATCAGCACTTTCCCGGATCGTCGCCGGATCAATACCCGTCGCTTTTCCAGCAATACCAGCCGTGGAACAGCCACGTGGGGGGGGCGTTCGGAATGCCTCCGCTTCTCCCCGGCGCTCCGCAACAGTTTCCCCCTTCCTCCCCCCAGCAGTTCTCCCCCGCCCCCCCGCAGTTCCCCCCCGCTTCCCCCCAGCGATTCGCCCCGCCCTCCCCGCAGTTTCCGCCAGGGTCCGCGCAGCAGTTTCCGCCGGCCTCCCTGCATCAGTTCCCCCCAGCATCTCCGCAGTTCCCCCAGGGCTCCGCGCAGCAGTTTCCGCCGCAGCAGTTTCCCCCGCAGCAGTTTCCGCCGCAGCAGATGTTCGGAATGGGGTTCGCGCGCGGACCCCCGGGGCAGTTTTCCCCTTCCCCCAATTTCTCTCCGCCAACCATGCCCGCGCAAAACGTTCCCCCCGGTCTGGGTGCGCAAGCCATGAGTCCGCTGATGGGTCCGCCATCCGGTTTCGGCCCCCATAACATCCCCCGTAACGTAAACGCCAACGTTAACGTTAGCGTGAACGGGCCCGCTGGTTACAACGCTCCCGGCCAAGGGTTTGGAAACCCGGGTCAGGGTAATTTCGCGAATCGGAACCCTAATAACCCTAGAAGAGGGCCGTATCAGCAGCAGCAAAAGCATCATCACCAACAGCAGCACGGGCAGCAGGGGCATTTCCGTAATAACCCCCCGCAAATTCAGGGTAACTCTAATTATAACCACGCGAAGAATATGGACGAATTAGAGGAGATGTTAAAGAAGCTAAATCCGGATGCCAAGGCGTATTCTCCGCCCTCGGGGGGAGCTGGTGGGGGCAGAGGCGGAGGAAGGAGGGGGGGCGGGGACGACAACAGGAGCAACGGCGGAGGGAGGGGGAAAGGGGGACGGGGAGGAGAAGGGGGAGGAGGATCCGGCGGAGGGGGGGGAAACGTGGACGGTCAGGAGCAAGGTGACGTGGCGGCTTCTGCTGGTGCCACGTCAGCTCGGAATGGACAGGTGTCTCCGAATGGGAGGCAGCAGGGGATGGAGGGGCGGCAGAATCAGCAGCAGCAGGGGCAGATGAAGGTGGGTTGTGGTGGTAACCAGTAGTTGAGGTTACCTTTTCGCCATCATGGCGTTTGGAGTCGTTTAATTTCATGTGTGTCAAGAGCTCAAGTGCAGGCTGAACTAAACCGCCTGAAACGTTGCTGTTATTGCTTCCTTCAACAGGCAGGGGCCGAGGGAGGGTGCCGGGTATTGGTGCTCACGTCTCTTGACATTACTACCGAATGTTACATCTAATTCTTTCCCACGGCGTACACGTGCAGAATAAAGGCTCTGGCGCTGGCAACACGGGGATGGGAGGGGGTGGCGCTGGTGGTTGGGGGGGGGGCGGTGGCAGCGGGGGTGGAGGGGGTGGGGGCGGCAATCAGCGGAGGGGGCAGCAGGCAAGGGCGGGGCAGCAGCCCACGGAGGAGAGCACTCAGCGGACGGTCTATGTGTCTGATATTGACCACCAGGTGAGTTGATTAGATTGCTGTGTGTGTATATGGTGGTGCTGCTGCTGCTGCTCCTGGCTGTACTGGTAAGGCTCAGTACAGCGGGCAGCAGCCCACGGAGGAGAGCATTCAGCGGACGGTCTATGTGTCTGATATTGACCATTGTAACGAGGTGACTTTTGAGTCGACTCAAACGTCAGCCAACGAAGAAGAGCACTCAGAGGTCGGCCTCTGTGTTTGACATTGGGTTGGATGGATGGGTTGTTTGTTGGAATTGTGAAGCTATTCCCCATCCCCTTGTGCAAGTCGATTGAAAAAAAAACTCTGTGCACCTGATCGATCCCATACCCGCCTGTGATAAACTTTTGAGGCGCCTCAAAAAGCTATCCCCCATCCCATCCCCTTTTGCAAGTCGATTGAAAAAAACTCTGTGCACCTGATCCCATACCCCATCCCATATCCTCTTTTGCAAATGCAGGTGAGAGAGGAGCAGGTGGCTACCCTCGTCCTCTCCCCCCTCCCGTCTTCCTCACCTTCCTCCTGTCCTTGTTATCCCCCCCTTCTTCCCTGTCCTCTTGCCTTCGGGTGTGATCGCATCCCATACCCGCCTGTGATCTCAACAACTGCAGGTGACAGAGGAGCAGCTGGCTACCCTCTTCCTCTCCTGTGGCCAGGTGAGTTTTCAGGTGCCTCGAATCTTCAGGTGAACTTTCAGGTGCATCATACCATCAGGTGAGTTTTCAGGTGCCTCCGTATTTCTTGGTGAGTTTTTCCGTGCACTTGCTTTCCATGTATGCCTTGTCTCCGTGAAGTTCCCACTTGAGAGTTCCCACGTACCTCTTAAGCCCGTGTCTCTGTCTATCACAGGTGGTGAACTGTGGATCGATCCGTGGGGGGCTTGAGTGACGTTTGAGTTGACTCAGAAGTTAATCTTTGGAGGACAAAAAGTAGTAAAGCCTCGTTTCACGTGTGCCTGCCTCTGTGTATCTCAGGTGGTGGACTGTCGCATCTGTGGGGACCCCAACTCGGTGCTCCGATTCGCGTTTGTGGAGTTTACAGACGAAGGTAGGTACGCTGCAAGCGAAACGATTTCTTAGGTGCCTCGAGGAAACGTTTGTGGAGCGAGTTTACAGCCAAAGGTACGCTGCCTGCGAGCGGGCAGCAGTTGTGTGTGATAAGTCGAATTTTGAGTCGACTCAAAACTCGACTTATCACAATCGAGGAAACGTTTGTGGAGCGAGTTTACAGCCAAAGGTACGCCTTTTGAGTCGTCTCAAAACTTTTGAGACGTCTCAAAAGTTGCCTCGAGGAAACGTTTGTGCAGTGAGTTTACAGCCAAAGGTACGCTGCCTGCAAGCGGGCAGCAGTAGTGTCAAGTCAACCAGTGTTAGTCACTGAGTGCAAAACGAATAGTAGCTTCTGAGACGACTTTTGAGTCAAAGCTGGTAGTATCTCTTTCTCAGGAGACGACTTTTGAGTCGAAGCTGGTAGTATCTCTTTCTCAGGAGACGACTTTTGAGTCGAAGCTGGTAGTATCTCTTTCTCAGGAGATGACTTTTGAGTCGAAGCTGGTAGTATCTCTTTCTCAGGAGACGACTTTTGAGTCGAAGCTGGTAGTATCTCTTTCTCAGGATACAACTTTTGAGTCGAAGCTGGTAGTATCTCTTTCTCAGGATACGACTTTTGAGTCGAAGCTGGTAGTATTTCTTTCTCAGGATACGACTTTTGAGGCGCCTCGAAAGCCGATCTGCGTTTGTGGAGTTCACAGTTCATAACTTGCCACCTGGTATGTCTATCCTTCCACCCGCACCTCTCTCTCGTCTCCCTCATCCCTCCGTTACAGAGGGGGCCAAGAACGCATTGAGCATTGCAGGGACTATGCTGGGGTACTACCCGCTCCGGGTGCTGCCTTCCAAGACCGCCATTCTGCCTGTCAACCCCACCTACCTCCCCAAGGTGCCGTCGTAACCTTTCCGATGCAAAGTACGATCTTGATGGGTGCTCCTGGGTGCTCCTGGGTGCTCCTGCGTGCACTTCGTTCCCTCATCCCCCGTGCTTGTCATGTCGCATCAGATCAGAGCCAGGAGGAGAGGGAGATGTGTGGTTGCACTGTGACTTTTGAGTCGACTCAGACGTCTCCACTTTCCCCCACCCCAACCACCCCCCAATTCCGTTGTTGCACCCTTCACTTTGTGTGCTTCATCTCGTGTTTGTCACATCAGAGTTAGGAGGAGAGGAAGATGTGTGGTTGCTCTGTGACGTGCTCGCACTGTGACATGCTCGCACTGTGACTTGCTCGCACTGTGACTTTTGAGTCTACTCAGAAGTCTCCCCCTTTCCTGCCTTCCCCCTGTCTTCCACCCCACCCACCCCCGCGTCCTTTGTTGTTGCACCTTGCACATCGTTTCCTTCATCCCCGGTGTTGGTCACATCAGAGCCAGGAGGAGAGGGAGATGTGTGCTCGCACTGTGTATTGCACCAACATTGATAAGAAGGTGTGGCGAGAGGAGAGAGTGAGGGGGCACGGCGAGTAAGGGAGATAGCAGGGGCAAGAGAGGAGAGGGAGGTGTGTGCTCGCACTGTGTATTGGACTGACCTTTTTTCTTCTTCGTCTTCTTTTTCCCTGATTTTCCTCTCTGCTTCTCACCTGTTCACTCAATCCCACCCCTCCGCCCCCACGGACACAGTTACATTACATGGAGCACGCAGCGGTTTTGACGATCGCCCTTGCCTTCCTTTACACGACAGTCACCCTGTATGTGACGCAGCAAAAAAAAAAACTCTCCCTCCTTTCGTTCACACTCACGCACACCCGCTGCAGGTCACCCAGGCAGACGTGAAGCTCTTCTTTGAGTCGCTCTGCGGAGAGGTGAGCCCAGGTTGAGTGCGGTTGACTGAAATGCAATGAATCAGAGTAATGGTCTATGCAGTTGAACTTGAAACCAGGCCAAAGGCTTCCTGTCTAGTCTAAGGTAGCAATGGAAGCAAGGCAGAAACAAAGTCTTACCACCACTCCACCCACATCAGACCATTGCTTAGTAGCACTTTCCACTGCACCAACCCCTCTCCCCTCCCCCTCCCTCCCTCCCTCCCTCCCTCCCTCCCTCCCTCCCTCCCTCCCTCCCTCCCTCCCTCCCTCCCTCCCTCCCTCCCTCCCTCCCTCCCTCCTCCCTCCCTCCCTCGCTCCCTCCCTCCCTCCCTCCCTCCCTCCCTCCCTCCCTCCCTCTCCTCCCTCCCTCCCTCTCCTCCCTCCCTCCCTCCCTCCCGCCCTCCCTCCCTCCCTCCCTCCCCTCCCCACCTCGCTCCCTTCCTTTCCTCCTTTTTCTCATATTTCTTGTCTCCGTTTGTCGGCTGATTGCTGTCACTCTACCTGCCCGCGTAGTTTCCTGACCTCCCCTCCTGTTCTCTCCTCTTTTTCTTCCCCTCGTCTCGTCTCCTTCCCGCATCTTAGGTCTCTTGTCTCCGCCTGTTGGGCGAGTACCACCAATCCATACACCTGTCCGAACTCCTTACGTTTTCTCCCCTTTTTTCCCTTTCTTCTCCCACCATCAACCCCCCACAACCCCCCAAAACCTTCTCCTTTCCTGCTTCTCAGATCTCACGCCTTCGTCTGCTGGGCGATCACCACCACTCCACCCACATATACTATACTCCTTTGCTTTCCTCCCGTCCCCTCCTTTTCCTTACCCCCCAACCCCCCTTCCCCCCCACCTTTTCCCTCCCTCACCCCCTCTCTCTCCTGCTTCTCAGATATCGCGCCTCCGCCTCTTGGGAGATTACCACCACTCCACTCGCATTGCTTTTGTTGAATTCGTGATGGTGAGTGATGGAGGGTGATGAGGATTACTGAGGGTTGATGAGGGGTGATGAGGGTTGATGAGGGGTGATGAGGGTTGATGAGGGGTGATGAGGGTCGATGAGGGGTGATGAGGGTTGATGAGGGGGTAACGGTGGATGATGATCGTGGCGGCGTTTTCTCTCGTTGTATCGAATGGGACGCTTTCTCTGTCTAGGAAACAACATCCACATTTGAAAAACATTACCACAAATCACCCTTTCCTAGCCAACCTGGGTTCCTCTCTGCACCTTTTTGCACCTCTTTGCACCTATCCTCACACCTTTCTCCCTCCCCCAGGCTGAGAGTGCCATGGCTGCTCTAAACTGCAGTGGGGCCATTTTGGGTTCTCTCCCCATCAGGTCCGTTCCACACCTTCCTGCACCTCCCTGCACCTCCCCGCACCTCCCCGCACCACTTTGCGCCACTCTGTACTGCTCCACACCTCTCTGCACCCCTCTCCCAGGCTGAAAGCTTATGTCTGTTGAACGTCATACAAGCATGACCCTCCCTATTACGTCCGTGTCCCTCTGTGAGCTCTAGATTGGATGGAACACGGACCTAATACGGACCAAGTCCCATCGTGGTTTGGAATTTTTGGTTAAAAAAATTGGACTCGTCATGGTTAGAATTTCTCAAGAATTGTACACCTGTTGCTTGCATTACGACCCTCAAAGATCACATGTGTGCCCACTGTCGTTTCCCCCGATTCTAAAAACCCCCTAATCATCAGAGTGAGTCCTTCCAAGACCCCTGTGTGCCCACGAGCCCTCAGGCAACACCTGCTGTCACATCTCTGGCCCCTCTCTTTACCCCTCACATCCCCCCGTCCCTCAACCTTTTCCTCCGTATCCCCCACCCATCAGAGTGAGTCCTTCCAAGACCCCTGTGTGCCCACGAGCCCTCAGGCAACACCTGCTGTCACCTCTGGCTCCGCCCTAACCCCTTCCCCCATGTTTTCCCCTTCCCCCATGTTTTCCCCTTCCCCCATGTTTTTCCCTTCCCCCTCTCCCCTGTTCCACATCCCTCTCCCCCATCAGAGTGAGTCCCTCCAAAACCCCTGTGCGCCCACGAGCGCCCAGGCAGCATGGGGGGAGGTAGTAACTGAAGGAGGGACGAGATGGGGGGAGAGGGTATGGGGGGAGGTAGTAACTGGGGGAGGGGGAGGGAGAGGAGGTAGCAACTGGGGGAGGGGCGGTGTGGACATGCAGGGAGGTGGTAGCAGATACAAGTGGCAACAAGTGGAGAGATGGGCGGTACTTGGGGAGGTAGAAGCAGGTACAGGTGGTAAGGAGAGAGGTAATGGCGCATTATAACGGGCAGGATGGGGAGAGATAGCAACTGAAGAAGGGGCGGCATGGGGGGGAGGTAGCACCCGGTGAAGGGGCGGCATGGGGGGAGGTCGCATAGGGGCTGAAAACAACTTAAACACTTGATAGGGTGGGTGTGCAATTCAAAACGGGAGGAGAGGCGGGAGAGGGGAACGTGTGAGGGAGGGAGAATGGGGGGGAGGGGGGAGGGTCGGCTTGAAATGAGGTCGGTGTTTGGACTCGGGAGAGAAAAAGGAGGGGGAATGGGCAAGGTTCAAAAGGAAAACGGGTTTGAAAGATGTAGAAGTAGCAGAGGCTGCAAGAAGGAGGTCCGACCGAGGCCCGAGAGGGTTAATGAGGCTATATTATTCAGCACCCGGATATTTATTGGGGCAGACAGACATCGCACCCCCCTTATCATTCAGATGCGGGGGGGAGAAGTTTCAAAAGAGGTCCGAATCCAACAGAGTCGACTTTTGAGAATTCTCAACAGCAACAGTGCCGGCTGATGGAGCTGCGTGCTTTTGAAGATGGTGCGCGATGATCCGAAAGTAGTGCGGCCTGCGATATTTCTGGAGGTTTCTCAAGAGACAAAGGTGTTGTCCCCGGGGCGGTTCTAGCATTTCCCCTGGGCGGTTCTAGCGTTTCCCAGGGGCCCTCACTAGGACTCCTCAGTCATGAGTCCTTACTCGGACCTCGCTGCTTTTCCCCATTATTGAGGGCCCGGGGGACGTTTCGTGCGCCGCAAGAAACGTGTCGCTGCTGGGTTGGTTGAGTCGACAGTAGAATTGACCCAGGGAAGTTGAAGAAGCTGCTAGTTGCTGTGCGTTTCGATGTGGTGCGTGGCCGTGCAAAGGGTGGGTGGATGGGGTTACGTTTTGGAGGCGCCTCAGAAATAAGCTGCTGATTTGGCTGGGCCAAATTTGGAGGAGGAGCTGCTAGCTGCGGTGCGGTTCGAAATGGTGGGTGGCGGTGCAATGGGAATAATGATAAGAATAATTACAGTGCATGAATAAGGGAGAGGTAAATAAGGTTGTGGAATAACGGCGAGCAGCAGCAGCAGCAGCAGCAGCAGCAGCAGCAGCAGCAGCAGCAGAAGTTTCAGTGAGGCGGTTGTGTGAGGGGTAGTAAGTGCAAGGACAGCAGCAGTGGTTGCGAGAATAAAAATTGAGGAGAACAAGGCAAGAGCACTGCACTGGGGGATAGTAGGTGGGTGGGTTGCTGTGTGTGTGGAGGAGGAGCAACAGCAGCACCAGCAGTTTCAGTGAGGCGATTGTGTGAATGGGTAGCAGGTGCAGGGGCAGCAGCAGTGGTTGCAAGAAGAAGAATTGGGGAGAGCACGGCAACAGCAGCAGCACTGCAGCAGCATGTGATGTGATTGTGGGAGCAGCAACAGCACAGGGAAGACCCGTTTAGGCCGGTGGAGCAGCAGCAGCAGCAGCAGCAGCAAGAGTAACAGCAACAGCAGCAACAACATTCAGTTCAGTGGTGGTGGGGTAGTCTCTGCAATTGTGTGGGCCGGTTGGTTCCACCCTCCCAGTTTATCAGCCCTTTCACCATTTGGCTGGACTATTTGATAGTATAAACCAGTAACAATAATATTAGAGAAACTGGGCTGAAGAAATGGGATTGCTAAGGGGAAGGGAGGGGGATCAAATGGTTGAACATGGGTGGAAAGGATTGCTTGGGGGTGGGGTGCGGCTGTAGGTTCTTTGCAGGCTGGTGCAGTCGAATAATGGTTAGCTATAAAGGGTTACCGTATGGCCCCGGATACAAGCGCCGTCCGATTAAAGGCGCCGGCGCTTCTATCTGGAGCATGGCGCTTATAGAGGATCCTCGATTAGAAGCGCACCCCTTTTCAGGTCTGAACTTATTATAAGCGCATGTGCAAAGTCTGATATCTACTTATCATTCTAATTTCACAGAACATTACATTTTTTAAACAATTCCTAACAAGAGTTGTTTCACCCTATCAATTTCAAGGTTCATACACAACAGCCTACTCAGGTTGAACCAGCTACTCAGGTACTACAGCCTAGCTACCTACTCCTCCTCGTCAGACTCGGGCTCCTGGCAGTTGTTGCCAAAGAAGCCGTCAGCGATGATGTCGTCATCGACATCGACTTCACGAGTCAGCTGGCTTCGCCTGTGCGCCATGGCAAGCGAGTCCTCGCTGCCGTCAAGAGCGTTGCTGATGCCACAGGTGAGGAAGGCGCGCTTGATGAGGTCCGCGGGCACTGCCTTCCATGCCCGCGAGATCCACTTCACTACCACCGCAGGAGGCGGCTTCTTGAGGTTCCCTGCACCAACAGGCAGAGACACATCACTCTCATCAGTTTTAATAAACGGTTCACGAGAGCATGTCAAGGAACGACTGTAGTTCTTCTATGTAAGCTTACCTGCTGCTGTCAGTCGCTCTTGGCCTTCGTCTTCAAACCACTTCTGGTACTGCTGGCGGACGGAGGCCTTGAACGACTTGTTGATAGAGACGTCCAGCGGCTGAATCTCCGCCGTACAGCCTGCCGGGATCACCGCCGGCACGATGTTGAGCTCGGCGAACTTGTCCTTGACCCCTTGGGTGAGGTGACCGCGGTAGGAGTCGAGGACCACCATCGCGCTCCTCGCCTGCCTGCCGAATCGAGGCCTAAGAAACGACGCCGGAGCCCGTACATACACGTACATACACGTCTGGACCCTTGTTATTGTCCGGTTCAGACAGGTACTCGTCGAAGGCGGACGGGAGCAAGAGCGTAAGCACGGGATGATTCCCAGGCGGTTGTGGGAACGCCTGATACGGAGGAGCAGGAGGAGCGGGAGGAGCGGGAGGAGCGGGAGGCGCAGGAGGAGCAGGTGGCGCAGGAGGAGCAGGAGGCTGTGGTGGCGATGGTGGTTCTGGTGGGATACGTGTGTACCATCCGTCAGCGTCAACTGTGTAAGCGGGCCTAGGTTTTTTCTTGAAAAGGAAATGAGTGCCTGTGAATTCCGCCATGGCTTCCGCAGCCAGGCGGGCGTGAACAAGAAAGTGAATGGGAAACGCAAAGCATGAATGAAGAAATGAACGATTGAAGAGGACCCCTTCAGGAAAGCGCCTCGGGGTCCTCATCAATGAAAGACGAAAATCACCCTGCCTGAACCCGCAGAGGAGGGTTCATGGCACCAGACGTGCTGTGCTGGCAGGGCATATTCCACACCCTTCGAGAGGGTCCTGCCTGGCCGCGCATGACAACCCGATTGGGCCGCACGACAGCTTTTGTGTCAGCGCTGGCAGGTGCGCTGCACTGGGACGTGAAGTGTGCGGTGGGGAATCGAATCGCGGCGAATAGCGCGAGGATTCCATGCATGACCCCACGTGAACGGCACATCGTTGTGTTCGCCTTATTGCAAGCTTCATTTTGGTACCCTTACAAACAAATTTCATTTTTGCCATTATAAAGGCGCCGGCGCTTATGGCCGTTACTCGATTATAAGCGCACCCAAATAAAATCAAGATTTTATTATAAGCGCATCTGCGCTACTATCCGGGGTATGACGGTATTTGATTGTACCGCACCTGCACTTCAACCTAAGACCCAACAGTAATTTTGCATCTGCCCAAGGTTCGGCTGATCCTTTTCAAGTTGACGATGACATCCCACCAACTATGCTAGCTAGTAGTTGGATTCATTCATCACCGATACTGGTAATTTCTTACTGTTTAGATACTTGGTGTGTTTAGATACTTGGTGGTGCTGGTGCACTTTATTTAGAATCTAGAGAGCAACAACTTTCAGCATCGTTGTCAGGTAGAGTCGACCCAAGCAGTGAAGGGTTACCACCAGTACCATGCAGTTACGTCACGTGAAAATCGCGACATCTAGGAAATCACCCGTCTGTTGTGGGGACGGGGAGGGGGGAAGGGACCGGACCGGGCGGGAAAGAAGGGGAGTGAATGGAGTTGCTCTAAAGCCGTTCCTCCACAGATGTGGAGTACGGTAATTGCAATCAGTAGAACGGCTTGCTGCATGTGAAAAGGAATGTGGGGGAATGCAGGAGTTGAGGCGTCCTCTTCTATTGACATGCCATACATGATACATGATACATGCTATACATGATACATGATACATGCTATACATGATACATGATACATGCTATACATGATACATGATACATGATACATGATACATGCTATACATGATACATGATACCATAGAGACTCTCTGCTCACCTGAAACCCCAGCTCGTGCAGAGTCCTGTTGTCAGTGTTGGCCCTCGCCAAGTAACATGGTGGTGGCATAGAGCTGCCTGCCTAGCTCACCAGAAGCCACGTGTAAAAAGACGATTTTTGAGACGTCTCAAAAATGGTGGTGGCATAGAGCTGCCTGCCTAGCTCACCAGAAGTTCCAGCTCATGCTGATATAAGCAGGTGACTTTTGAGTCGACTCAAAAGTCACCTGGATATAAGCATGATTTATATAGCGAGGCTATGCTCACCTGAAACCCCAGCTCGTGCAGCGTCCTGTTGTCATCCGGTGTTGGTCTGCGGGTCATTGAGTTGGTGATTCCGGCCTGGCGTGGTTGGGGCACAGGAGGTAAACACAGGTATGAGAGGCCAGAAATGTCGGCTATTTTCAGAATTCTTAAGAAGAATGACCTCTGCAAGGAGATGCAGAGGGAACGTTGGTCTGCGAGGCATACACATGGTAATTCCGGATTAACGAGCAGGCAAGAGGAGATCAAGAAGAGGCCGGAATGAGAGAAAGAATATTGTCTCGTGAGGCAGCAGAGATGAAGAAGGATTCAAATCAAAGGCAGCAGAGCAAGCCGTGAGGGAGGAAAGATGAAATGATGCTTGTTGTGAGGCGGGCAACAGAAACTCCTCACAAACATGAATATTCTCAAGGCTACTGACTGACAGTGAGTGACAGATAAGGGACTGAGAACTGAAGTGAGACAGGCAATGGCGTTGAGAAACATGACCTAAGACTATGAAGCAAGCTAGCGTGCAACAGCTAAGCTCGGGACGAGCAGCAGGTGATAGCATGTGAACCAGGAACCTTTGTTTGTCTGTTATTGTGTGGTTTTGTCGCTCCCTTTTCTCCCTCACCTGTTTCATGACATTCCTCCCTTGCCTATTTGGATACACAAACGCGAACGATAACCGAGCATCCCTCCGACGAGCCTCTGGAACCACCTCCTTCAGCTGAAACAGCCAATAACGAGTACAGGGGCGGAACAAAAGAAAGGTTAACGAGGAAGTGTGTGGGGTTAGAGCAAAATCGTTTGTTGATGCGCGTAGATGCAAGAGCCATTTGTCACAGGAGCAAAATCTCTGAGACATTTGTCACACGAGTAAAATCTCACAGGAGTAGATAAAAATCGTTGGCGGTGGGATGGGATGGTCAAGGGACATAGTAAGATGGCAACAGTAAGGGATGCGATAATATGTTCCCTCCTCTGGTGAACACTCACAGTGAGTGAATGTTCAGTGAATACTCACCAAATCCGTCAGCTCTAAGAGTAGCATCCTTCCACGTGTACATCCTGCACCTCCTCCTTTGGCTCCTGCCCTCTTTCTGTGACACCCTCTCAACATGAATGTTCAGTGAATTCTCTCAAGGCCACTCACAGTGAATGTTCAGTGAACACTCACCAAATCCGTCAGTTCTCTCAGGGTGGCATCCTTCCACGTGTACATCTGCACCTCCTCCTTGGGCTCCTGACCTCTTGTTGCGAATGCGTCCAAATCGTGATGCCCCCCGTGCTGTCAGTCACAACAGTTCGATACAACATTCAGTTACAACAAGACCACAAAACACAAGGCGGAAGGGAGGAAGGGAGAAGGGAGAAAGGGAGAAGGGAGAAAGGGAGAAGGGAGGAAGGGAGAAGGGAGAAAGGGAGAAAAGGAAGATCAGGCAATGCATCACTCCTTGGGCTCCTGCCCCTCTCCCTGCAGCGGCGTCCTAATCATCATACCCCGCGTGCTGCCATGACGGATCAGACAATGCATCACTCCTTGGGCTCCTGCCCCTCTCCCTGCAGCGGCGTCCTAATCATCATACCCCGCGTGCTGCCATGACGGATCAGACAATGCATCACTCCTTGGGCTCCTGCCCCTCAGATTTGGATCGCAGAGGCATCCAAACCTGATCCGTGCTGTTTCTTTTTAAAAAATAGCAGTAGGGAAACAGGAGGAAACAGGAGGAAACAGGAGGAAACAGGGAGCAGGGGAGAAAAGGAAATGACTCAATGCATCTGTCCTTGGGCTCCTGCCCCTCTCACTGCAAAGGCGTCCAAATCTGAACCGTGCTGTTATTTGCAAAGAGCACACATGACAAAACAAAAGGATGGGAGACATGGAGACCAGTCATTCAGTCAAGAGCAGTGGTCACACATCCCTCCTTAGGCTCCTGCCCCTCTCACCGCAGAGGCGTCCAAATCAAAATGCCACCCCCACTGCCATGAGGTAGGGAAAGGGAGAAGATGGGAGAAGACGGGAGAAGACGGGAGAAGACGGGAGAAGACGGGAGAAGACGGGAGAAGACGGGAGAAGACGGGAGAAGACGGGAGAAGACGGGAGAAGACGGGAGAAGACGGGAGAAGACGGGAGAAGACGGGAGAAGACGGGAGAAGACGGGAGAAGACGGGAGAAGACGGGAGAAGACGGGAGAAGACGGGAGAAGACGGGAGAAGACGGGAGAAGACGGGAGAAGACGGGAGAAGACGGGAGAAGACGGGAGAAGACGGGAGAAGACGGGAGAAGACGGGAGAAGACGGGAGAAGACGGGAGAAGACGGGAGAAGACGGGAGAAGACGGGAGAAGACGGGAGAAGACGGGAGAAGACGGGAGAAGACGGGAGAAGACGGGAGAAGACGGGAGAAGACGGGAGAAGACGGGAGAAGACGGGAGAAGACGGGAGAAGACGGGAGAAGACGGGAGAAGACGGGAGAAGACGGGAGAAGACGGGAGAAGACGGGAGAAGACGGGAGAAGACGGGAGAAGACGGGAGAAGACGGGAGAAGACGGGAGAAGACGGGAGAAGACGGGAGAAGACGGGAGAAGACGGGAGAAAGGGAGATCATGAAAGAGGGCTCCTAGGAGGGATGAAAGATCAGACAATGCATCCCTCCTTGGGCTCCTGCCCGTCTCACTGCAGCGGCGTCCAAATCTGATCCGTGCTGTTATTTGCAACAAGAGCAGTAGGGAAACAAGAGGACGAAAGGAGGAAAGGTGGTAAGAGATCAGTCAATACATCTCTCCTAACTATTTTGGGAGGGGGGGGGAACGGGTGAGGGCTTTTGGGTAAACTCAGAAAGTCTAACTCACGGAGTCATGTAACCGGGCAGAGAGACACCACATTTTGGAGAGAAAAAAAAGGTGACAGATTGAAAAACGAGTGACATATTGGGAAAGGGGTGACATATTGAGAAAGGAGTGTCATATTGGGAAAGGAGTGTCATATTGGGAAAGTGGTGAGATACTGGGAAAAGAGTGACATATTAAAAAAGGACGAACACGCTCAGAAAGGGAGCACATGGGGAGCGATGGAGAAAATTGGCATTGCCAGATGGAGATGGCTACACTACATGACATGAGTAGGTTTCTTGGCATGGGGATGGGTACATGGCATGTGTTGGCTACATACTTAGCATGGGGATGGCAAATGTAGTATGGGCATGGGTGGCCCATGGACTGCTACATGGGTGGCCCATGGACTGCTACATGGATGGCCCATGGACTGCTACATGGATGGCCCATGGACTGCAACATGGATGGCCCATGGACTGCTACATGGATGGCCCATGGACTGCAACATGGATGGCCCATGGACTGCTACATGGGTGGCCCATGGACTGCTACATGGATGGCCCATGGACTGCTACATGGGTGGCCCATGGAGTGCTACATGGATGGCCCATGGACTGCAACATGGATGGCCCATGGACTGCTACATGGGTGGCCCATGGACTGCTACATGGATGGCCCATGGACTGCTACATGGATGGCCCATGGACTGCTACATGGGTGGCCCATGGACTGCTACATGGATGGCCCATGGACTGCTACATGGGTGGCCCATGGACTGCTAAATGGATGGCCCATGGACTGCTACATGGGTGGCCCATGGACTGCTACATGGGTGGCCCATGGACTGCTACATGGATGGCCCATGGACTGCTACATGGATGGCCCATGGACTGCTACATGGGTGGCCCATGGACTGCTACATGGATGGCCCATGGACTGCTACATGGATGGCCCATGGACTGCTAAATGGATGGCCCATGGACTGCTGCTACATGGATGGCCCATGGACTGCTACATGACAAGGAAAGAAAAAACACACTTTTTCCTTTGTCCCAAAACTTTGGCTTTAACTGACCTTGTGAAACACTCGTAGCAGCAGCGGACACGTCTGTATTGATGAGATAGCGGGATGGGTTTGGCAGGGTAGTGGGAGGGGGGGGGTGGGTGGCCACCAGCAGGGGAATAAAAAACGCATGAGGGAACAACGAAAGGGAAGAAGAACGGGCATGATGAGGAAAGTGATTTTTAGCGAGGAAAAAAAAAAAAAAATGAAAATAAGGTGTGTGGCACGCGAATCAGTGGACCCAACAGCTTCCGCTTCAAATACATTCTCCCAGGCCATCAGTGCACACCTAATTGCGTTTCGTATTTTCTCGACGCCCAATGGTCAACAACATCAGGATCACCTTTGATTGGCAATGAGCGAACCTTTTAAGTCCATTTTAGACGCCTTCTCCCAACCCATCAGTGCATAACTAATTGCATCTCGCATCTTCTTGACGCCCAACGGTCAACAGCATGGGAATTGGAGACGTCTCAAAAATGGTCAAGAACATCGGGATCACCTTTTATTGGCAAAGCGGCGCACCTTTTCCCCACCCAACAACAGTCAACAACACCCACGCGCGCACCTTCCCTCACCCAGAAACAGGCAACACCGAAGCGCGCTCCTTTCCCCCACCCAATGACAGTCAACACTGGCGCGCGCACCTTCTCGCGGTCCACGACGATTGGCTGATGCGGCACGGCCATCATGGGCGCCGCGGCTCGAGCCAGGTTCGGTATTCTCGAGGGCCGATTCTGCGCGTCCGCCGCCGCAGCAGCCGCCGCCATCTGGATCGACATCAACGCCGCCAGATTCGATTTAATTCGAAAAGCGAATAGACGTAACGTGCTCACGTAACGTGCTCGCGTAACGTGCTCGCGTAACGTGCTCGCGTAACGGGGTGCGAAACGGTACTAGGACTGACACAAAAACGATTGGTGGATCTCTCGATGCTATCTGAAACTCGTTGCGGTTAACACCGTCAGATGGCGGAACGAAATCGATGAGTGAAGACCAACGGCTGTGATGATCACCGAGAAAAGCGCTTGTGAGTGAGGACGTGCGTCTAAGGTGGTGCGTCTGCAAATGGGAATCAAGAAGACCACGATGCGCACGAAATGGAGAGATTCAAAGGGCGCGGGCGCAACGAGACAGCGAGATGCTAGGACCGAATGCGATTCAATCACTATCACGCAGAGAGAAACGAGTGAAGCGGAAGGAGGAATGGGAGACGATGGCGGGGGGAAACCAGAAAACTCGAGAAATATTCGTTTTACGTATCCTTGCGGACTCCGACGTATCCTGCAAGAACACTTGCAGTTTCAGTAATACAGTAAAGATGGGGCAAAAATCCACATACATTCCCTTGTTTTAAGATGAACGGAAACTGAAACTAGCACACATTAGTAGCACGAGCAAGCTTACAACAGCCCGCATTAGCCACTTAAGCATAAATCGTACAGGTAGTGATTTGATTCAAAATAAGCATCCGTTGTATAAATTACATGGATCAGCCAATCGCCTCCCCCCAATCACATCCTCTGCGTCAAGCTCTTGGGCATGCAGCCATGTCTTTTTAGGCATCTCAAACCCATCAGGCATGCAGGCATGTCTTGTGGCCACGTCACACATGCATGCACCAATCAGATACCTGCACTGCACTCTCCCACTGCACCTGTGTCACAATCTCCGGCTTGACCATAGATTCATTTTGGCGCATAACATAAATTAGCTACCCTACCCTACCGACTCTCTCTTCCCGGTCCTAAGTCACTGCCCCCCTTCTTTCCGTTCCATCTGCGTCAGCAGCGATGTGATTTCTTCCAACTTGGCCAGCCGTTGCCGCTCGCTCTCCGTCACAATCTGATGCGGTCAAAGTGATGACAAGGGAGGAGCAATGGGGGTGGGGTGGGGAAGATGTGAAGGGGATGACGAGTTGAGAGAGCAGTGCTGTTAGTGATTTGAGTCGTCTAGGCAGTTGCCGCTCACTCTCCGTCACAATCAAATTCAGTGGTATGAATCAGGTAGGAAGGGGTCGGGAAGGATGCGGAGGGGTGAGAAAGGATGGGGAGAGATGGAGAAGGGTGGAGAGGGATGAAGAGGAAAAAAGAGGACACAAGTCGGGAAAAAGGAGAAAAAAAGGTGGGGGAGAGAGAGGGCTGGAGGTCGGGAAGTTGTGAAGGTTATAGGATAAGGCACCTGACCAAGCCTGGTCTGTCATTGCAATCATAAATTGATGCGGTGGCAGGGCGGGAATGGGGAGGGAGAGAAACGGGGCTGGAGGTAGGGAAGTGTGAAGAGATTAGGTCACAGCAACTGGCCAAGCCTGGCCAACTGTTGCCGCCACAATCTGATGCGGTGGATGAGTGGTTAACGGGCACAGGTGGGACAGGTGGGACAGGTGGGAAGGGGGTGGCGGAAGGAAGGCAGGGAAGGAGAGATGTGACGAGTATCGTTTCTAAGCGAAGTAGAAGCTAAATCAGAAGGCAGATGGGCCTGTTATCACCAGCTTGATCCGCAGTTTCCGGAATTCGGAAGCTTACAGAGTCCTACGCTTGTTCTGAGGCTCCAAAGTAAACACTATCTCTTAACTTGGTCTGCAGTTTCTAGATTGTAGATGCTTGCTATGATTGTTGGACCACTGGAGAGCTGTAGAGGGATTGTGGAATTGGAGTTAACTCAAAACACACCGCTTCGTCCCGCTCTCTACCCATCTCACCTCGAAGAGCTTCCCAACCAGCTCTGACTTCTGGGCGTTCTTGTTGTTGTAGGCTGTGGTCGCATCCTTCAGCTCCTTCTCCTGCCATGGATGGAGCATGGGGCAAACGAGGCATGGGGCATGGGCCATGGGGCATGGGCCATGTGGCATGGGCCATGTGGCATCAGCATGTAGAGGGGCATGGGGCATCGGGCATGTGCGGGGCATGGGGCATCATCAGGCATGCAGGGCATGTGCTAGGGGCATGTGCCAGGGGCATGTGCTAGGGGCATGTGCTAGGGGCATGTGCCAGGGGCATGTGCTAGGGGCATGTGCTAGGGGCATGTGCTAGGGGCATGTGCCAGGGGCATGTGCTAGGGGCATGTGCTAGGGGCATGTGCCAGGGGCATGTGCTAGGGGCATGTGCTAGGGGCATGTGCTAGGGGCATGTGCTAGGGGCATGTGCTAGGGGCATGTGCTAGGGGCATGTGCTAGGGGCATGTGCTAGGGGCATGTGCTAGGGGCATGGGCTATGCGGATGCAGGTGCGAGACTTTCCAAACACACCCTCTCTGCATCCCACATGCATCCTTCCCTTTCGTCCACCTTCTTCTCCACCAGAGCCCGCATGGGCCTTAGCTCCCTGCCCACCAGCTCAATCCACTTCCTCAAATCCCCCAAATCAGCCCCAGCATCTGAGTCTCTCTCTGCATCACCACGTCAGATCCCTCTCCTTCCCTCTCCTTCCATCTCCTTCCATCACCATGCATCCACCAACCTTCCTCTCCACCAGAGCCCGCATGGGCCTCAGCTCCCTATCCACCAGCTCAATCCGCTTCCGTAAATCCGCCACCTCCTTCTTGGTCGGGTCTTCTATCGTCTCCAACTCCTGATAGGTTAACAGGGGGAGGAGGACAAGGGAAACGCAGGTGAAAAGGAGGGCACGCTGAGTGAGTACAGCCACCTCCTTCTTGGTCGGGTCCTCTACTGTCTCCAGCTCCTGACAGGTAAGAAGGGGGAGGCGGACAGGGGGAAAGGGGGTGAAAAGGAGGGTACGCTGAGTGCATAGAGGGTAAGTCTGTCAGCCGCCTCCTTGCTGGTCGGATCGTGTATAGGCTGAGGGGCAGAAGCAGCACCATCCGCCACCTCCTTCATCCGCCAGAAGACCCTTAACCATTGCTCCTCGCCTCATTCCTCTTCTCGTTCCCTCCTTGTTCCTCGGGTCTTCTACTGTCTCCAGCTCCTGATGTGTAGTATAGGTGGGCGAGGTGGGGAAGGGGGAGGGAACGAGACGAGGAATGAGGCGAGGAGCAATGGTTAAGGCTGTCAACTGTCCTTCACCTCCTTCTTGGTGAGCAATGAGAAGAGGAATGAGGCGAGGCTCTTCCTCATATTCTCCTCGGCCTAACGAGTCGACTCACTGGGGTCACAACCAACTGCTGTCCCCTCCCCCCTTCCCACCAACATATCCCACCCAACATCAACAACCTCCCCCCTCTCACACCTTCCTCACCTGCTCCAGTTTCTTCGCCGCCTGCTCAACACGTCTCACCTGCTGCCTGATGGGTAGACTCACTTATCGGGTCTTAACCAACTACCCCCCCACATCCCCCACCCACCCCTGATGCCCATACCTTCCGCAGCTGCTCCAGCTGCTTCGCCTCCTGTGCCACGCGCGTCACCTGCCGCCTAACAAGTCAATTCACAGACTTGGCAGGGTCACAACAACTCCTCTCTTCCCCCTCCCTCCAACTTCCCCCACCCTCCAACTTCCCCCTCCCCCTCTCTCACCGTCCTCATCTGATCCAGCTTCTTCGCCTCCTGCTCAACGTGCGTCACCTGCTGCGCCACACGTTTCTCCACCGCCTCCTGCATCTTCCTCAGCTCCTCCTCCTTGCTCCTCGCTCACACCCTCTCCACCCTAGTGTAACCCCCTCTCACCTTCCTTGGCTGCTCGTCTCCATGGCCTGCAGCTGCTGCTTCACCCTACCACCCCCCACATTCCCCTTGTCACTCACCTTCCGCAACTGCTCCAGCTTCTTCGCCTCCTGCACCACGCGCGTCACCTGCTGCGCCACGCGTTTCTCCACCGCCTCCTGCACCCTCCTTAGCTCCTCCTCCTTGCTGCGCACACTCCTCTGTACCCTAGCATCCCCTCCACCTAATACCCTCCCGTTACTGTCCTCACGAGCTCATTCCATTCCCTATTTGCCTGCTCCTCCCAAACCCCTCCCCATCCCCACCCGACCGTACCTTCCTGAGCTGCTCCAGCTTCTTCGCCTCCTGCTCAACGCGCGTCACCTGCTGCGCCACACGTTTCTCCACCGCCTCCTGCATCCTCCTCAGCTCCTCCTCCTTGGTCCTCAGACTCGTCTCCGTGGCGTGCAGCTGCTGGTCTTTTGCTGCGCGCTCCTGGCTCGCCGGGTTGTCCAAGGGCACTTGAGTCAACTGCCCGTCCGCCAATGGCGGAGCAGCGACTGGTGGGGCGGACTGCGCAGACGGGCGCAGGAGGCGAGGGGGAGGGGAGGGGGAGAGGAGGGAGACGGGAGGGAGAGGGAATAGTGGAAAGCAATCTCTTTCTCCTGCTCCTGCATCCGCCGCAGCTCCTCCTCCTTGGTCCTCAAGCTCGTCTCCGTGGCGTGCAGCTGCTGATCCTTGGCTGCGCGCTCCTGGCTCGCTGGGTTGTGTCCGCCAGCGGCGGCGCGGTCACCAGGGGGGCGGACTGAGCAAACAAGCGTGGGAGGTGGGGGAGTGGGGGGAGGGGAAGGGGAGAGGGAGGGAGAGGGAGGGAGAGGGAAGGTAGAATGTAAATCGCTGCCTGCTCCCCTTGCGTCAGAGGCCCCTCCGCCAGTGGCGGCGCCGCCACTGAGGGGGCGGACTGCGCAAACGGGCGCGAGAAGGGACGAGAGGAAGGGAAAGAGAGTGGTTTGAGAGGGATGGGATGGGGAAACTAAATTTCTTGGTGAAACAAGTTACAACTTTTTCAAAAATATTAACGCCAGGCGTCAGAAGAGTGAGACCGTATTGGCCAACGCTTCAAGCAAAAACGCTCGCGGGAACCAAGAATTTGTGAGCTCGTGAAACCCGGGGATTCGGGAATTCGGGAATTCGGAGATTCGGAAATCCGTTATGTACCAAGCGGACTCAAATGCATTGCGTACCAATTGGATTTTAATGCGCGTACCCGTTGCGTGTCGAGTCGACTCAAAACATTACGTACCCGCTGGGCGGAGGAACCCCACGCTTCCATTTGAACGGACATCGCTCGTTGCTTGGCGGGATCCGGCGACCCGGACAGCCTCGTCGGCTCCCCCAATCCCAGATGCCTTGCCGGTTCTGCGACTCCCGAATGCCCGTTAAGACTCGCCATTCCAAACTGTCCGCTTTGGTTCGCCATACCGAACTGCACGGCCTGGTTCGGCATCCCGAACTGCCCGGCCTGGTTCGGCATCCCGAATTGCCCAGCTTGGTTTGGCATCCCGAACTGGCCCGCCTGGTTCGGCATTCCGAACTGCCCGGAATGGTTTTGCATGGAACCACGCAGGCTCTGGTCTAACCCTGATAGGATGTTCTGCTCCATCGCTGGCAGCCGCGAGTCAGCAGAGGTGAGTCAGCGGCCGTGAATCGGCAGGCAGAACACGTCGAAATTCGTCTCCGAACTCTAATTTGCAGATGGGAAACGTCAATTTATGGGACGAGCTTCGCGGTAAAGAGTGGAACTCCCGAGGCGCCTGAGAACGTGCCTGTAGGAGATACCGATAAGTTAAATCTAGCACAGCAACATACGCTTTTGAAGAGGAGCCACCGTATAGAATGGAGGAGCTTTGCTTTAGTAGATATCGGCGGTTTTGTTCACGAACACCACTTTCTAGGCCGGCAAAAAGAAACTAGTGCACAGAAAGGAACAAGGAAACGACGGCGTGAAAGTCGCTAATTCACAGACCCATTTCTTGCAAAGGGAATGGAGAGCAATTTATCAGAGATCGCAGAGAGAAGGCACCGGGCACCCGCAAAACACGGCGAGCATGGAAGCTTGTCCTGCTTCGTAAAAAGAATCTAGGAATCTCAAACTCGTGAAGAATGATGTGAATGGTGATGGATGTGGGAGTTCTCAAAGCAGACTTCTGCAGCATTGCTTGCCATATCATTCGGTAGGGATGATCGTTCAGTGCGGTTCACCGCTCGGAATCGCAATGCACCCATCAGAAGAGCTGGTAACAACTTTCTGCCTGGATGTCATCCAGGCCAGGGGCAAGCTGTTCCCCTTCGCGACTTTGGCTGTTCCAGAGCTTTTGCGCGGCAATCTCGAGAGTTCCGGTTCGGACTGTCTCTGGTCTGGTATGACAGCAATTCTGACATTAGTGATTGTTCGGACCTGACAGTCGTCCCTGGTGACTTTCGCCAATCGCACAACGATCACGTGTTACCAGGGCCCAGTGGAGAATATTACCTCGATTATAGCGTACCCACTTACAGTACAAACTAGAGTAAGAACTTAATTGATCAGACCACTGTGCCCTATAGCTATAAGCCATACTGCATTCTACTGTTTCATAGGGTATAGTCTCTCAGCTCTATACAATTCATATTAGTCTGCCTAGTATTTCAAAAGAGTAGCCTAACGTCATCCCCTGTGCCAGCTCGTTTTCTTCTAGAACTCTTCAGCATTCCACCACTACTGCTCTCGTCACCTACACAGCTCAACAACACTTCTGCCATATCTTCCTCTTCCACTCCACCCCCTCGCAGCGAACCCAACACCCCAGACTCTGCATGCAGCTCACAATCTGAGCCGTCCATTTGACTGCTCGGATCTTCTCCTCGAATGAGTGCCGACAGCGAACTCAATAGCAGCGACCTGGAATCTGCTTCCACAGCTGTTGTTGATGATACACCTGCGCTTTCTGTCTCAGCTGCTGTTCCAGCTGCTCCTTCCCCTGCTGCAGTTCCTGCAGTTGCTGCTCCTGCTGCTGCAGCCGTACTTCCAGAAGCATCTTCTGTAGCAGCTTCTGCTGCTGCTAGGAGTCCAACAGACACAGTAGCACGAGAGGAATCACATGGATCACATGGGACAGCAAATAGTGCTGCCACCTCCACATCTGTTGCATCGCGGTGCTCTCCAATACTGTCCCCACCGCTTCCATTACCCATATCTCGTGTGATTTCTGGAGGCACATATCTACTACCAATGCTTCCAGCAGCATTACCCATGGCGATTGAAACAGCAATGTTGTTGCTGCTGCTGCTTCCACTAATGCCGCTACTGGGATTCCGGCGAACCGGAACAGAGGAGAGAACAGCAGAGGAGGAAGAGGACGTATACACCACGGGACCTTCAGCCGGGCCAAAATCCCTGCCCGACACGTGCTGCTTGTTCTGCTCGTTCTCCCGAGTCCCATTCACCTTCCCATTCTGCTGCTGCTGCGCCTGCTTTTGCTGCTTCTGCTGCTTCTTTTTCGGTGGCAGCAGCTTCTGCTGCTGCTGCTGCTGCTGCTTGTGCAATCTGGAAGGAGGAGGAGCCTCCAGCACCCCGACCACAGCAATGGCTCTGCTGCTGCGCCTGCGCTCACGCGAGTGGTACACGAAGCAGAGAGACACTACCCACACAAACACCAAAGCTCCAAGGAGGGCGAAGAAGGTGTGGAAATATTTGTCCCGCTCGTCCACTATCAAATCGAGCGTGGAGTTGGATGGAATGACGAGCGGCGACGTGAAGTTGGTCCTCAGCTGCTCCGATGGACCTGAGGGGGTTTGGGGGGGGGGGGGAGGGGGGAGCAGAGCAGGGGAATTGAGAAGGCAAGAGCAGAGGGGTCCCGCTCGTCCACCAGGAGGACGAGCGTGGAGAAGGATGGGATGATGAGCGGCGAGGTGAAGTTGGACCTATTTTTGAGTCGACTCAAAAAAAAAAAAAAAGGAAAAAAAAAGGGATGATGGGCGGCGAGGTGAAGTTGGACTTTAGCTGCTCAGAGGGACCTGGGAAGGGGGGAAGCAGAGCAGGGGGGTGACAGACGAATCAGTGAAGCTGGTAATATTCGACCAGATGGTGCAGTGAGCAGGGGGGTGCAGTGGAGGGGCACTTGCAGATGGTGGCATTAGGTTGACTTCATCTGAAAACATGTCCTCGTTATAATCATCCCTGCTACTAGAACCGAATCACTCACCATAATGTTGCACTTGCACCACTTGCAGATGGTGGCGTTGTCTCCTCTGAGAACACATACTCGCTACAATCATCCCCGCTAACGTACCACACAACAACTCATCGAAATCCTGTGCCGCCACCAGGGTCTGGCAGATTGCACCAGTAGAGGGGCACTTGCAGATGGTGGCGTTGCCTCCTCCGAGAACAAATACCCCCTATAAGCAGCCCCAATACAGTGCACTACAGTGCATGTTACACTTACCGAAATCTTGTGCCTCCACCAGGGTCTGGAAGCTCGCCCCAGTGTGCGTGGAGGGACACTTGCAGATGGTGGCGTTGGCCTCCTCTGAGAACACAAACTCGTTACAGTCAGCCCCCGTACAATGCTGGTTACCACACTTAATCACACTACTTACCGAAATCCTGTGTTTCGACCAGGGTCTGGCAGCTTGCACCAGTATGGGTAGAAGGGCACTTGCAGATGGTGGCGTTGGCCTCCTCTTTAAACACGCACATGCCTCCGTTGGCACTTGCAGAGAGCACCTTTTTTAGTCATACCCTCTATAAGAACCCAAAAGACTCACCGAAATCCTGCGCCTCAACAAGCGTTTGGCAGCTGGCGCCCGTATGGGTAGAAGGGCACTTGCAGATGGTGGCGTTGGCCTCCTCTGAGAACACGCACATGCCCCCGTTGGCACACCAGAGACCTGTGCTGCAGGCCACCACGGGCGTCTGGCACTTGGAGCCCTGCGGTTAAAGCAGGTGTAGGGGGGAGGGGGAGAGAGAGAGAGAGAGAGAGAGAGAGAGAGAGAGAGAGAGAGAGAGAGGGAGAGAGAGAGAGAGAGAGAGAGAGAGAGAGAGAGAGAGAGAGAGAGACACACACACACACACAGTGGCTTGACGTGTGAACATGCGAAAACACGCACATGCCTCCGTTGGCACACCAGAGCCCGTGCTGCAGGCCACCACGGGCGTCTGGCACTTGGAAGCCGGAAGGCAAACCACGAGAAGGGGAGGGAGTCGAATGGGTGGTTGTTGGGTGGATGTGAGGGGGTGGTCGAGGGGCAGAGACAATCTAGCAGAGGAAACACATCACATGATTTGGGACGTATCAATCCAGCAAGAAATCCCTCCTCATGCCCCTGTTTTGCTCCCTGACGCCCCTTACCTGCATCCTGTGAGGGCTCTCCTGCTCGTCTTATTGACTTATGAAACAAGCGGACGGGAAAGACGCACGCACCTGGAACTTGCGACGGCACGCGCAAGGGAAAGGAACCCCTGCGCACCCATCCCTATTCGCATCTCCCGCTGTTCTAATCGACTCACGAACCAAGTAGAGGTGAGGAACGCACCTGGAACTCGTGCGTGTGCACGAGCAGAGGAACATAGAAACCCATCTATACGCCCCCCACGGCTCACCTGGAACTTATGAGCGCACGAGCAAAGGAAACCCTGAGCGCTCGTCGCGACGCATTTCCCGCCATTCTAATCAGCTCTTGTACCAAGTGACTTTTGAGTCAACTCATAAGTCATCTCCTCTTGTTCGAATCGACTCATGAACCAATCGACGGGAGGGACGCCCCTGGAACTTGTGAGGGCAAGAGCACACAAACCCTTTGCACACAAACCGTGTTTTCGCTCCTGGCTCACCTGGAACTTGTGCGGGCACGAGCAGAGGAACCCCTGAGCGCCCATCGCGACGCATTTCCCGCCGTTCTCGCACCACCACGTGCCGTTGCATCGTACGGCCTCCGTTTGACACGATTTCCCGCGGAAGTACAGCCCGGTGTCATGATCGTACGGCTGACAGACGCACTCGGGCTCTTTCGTTTTAGGGTTCAGCTTGCACGTGCCGTTGTGCAGGCATCCCGGCTCGCACACGAGGTGTAGGTTTCGCGGGACGGTCCGGGCTGTAACGGGAGATGATTGTGACAGTAACGAGAGGACGACAACGAAGATGGAGGCTACAAGGAGGACGGGTGGAGAGCAAAAACTTCTCATACGCGGAAGCCGTAAGTTGGAGCATAGCCGACCGTTTCCGAAGGATCGAAGCATGGCTGCGAGTCGTAAGTTGGATTTAAAAATGCATTTGTACTAATAGACCGCACTGCCGCAAGCCTTCGACGCGGATGCTTTCTAATCGGCCCTGGACGCAAGAATATGGTAAAGAAATCACCCGTAGATTTTTAAGGAGGCTTATGGAGTGGAGTGCTCGGAACGACTTCGTACTGGATTGGAATAATCTCGAATAATCTCTAGACTGCAGACCTGCAGAACGAGCCTGTAAGGAACGATCGTTCACACGTGCAAAGGGAATGGTGCGCAAGTATTCGAGGTGAGAACGAGTGCAAGCTAGCAGTGAAAGAAAGGCTCAAAGGCCAAATGCTATTCGAGGGACCAGTTATCAGAGTCTGACCGAAGTGAGCAACAAAACGCAGACTATTGGCTACCTAGAAGCAGCAACTGCAGCTTCGCTTCGAATATGGCTCGCTCAGGGCTTTGTACATCAATAATTGCTGAACGACTGAGATTGGCTAGTGAACGCCATGCAATGCAGATGGCCAACATAAAAAATGAATGACGCGAGCAGTCGAACTGACTTGCTAGACGGAACGGGACTGACTGAAGAAATGTGCTTAGAAAATATCATCGTGTTCGTTTCTAGTGATGTACGGTTATGTACGGTTCTTACACTATCCATAGTGGTACGACGCTATGGTACTGGCTGAAACGCATAGAACAAGAGCATCAGAAGGTGACAAAGCCCCCGTAATAGTTGTGCTTATGTGGGTGGAAGGATGGCCTTGTCGAATGCTGAACGGGACGGAACGGAACGTAAACAGACCTCTTCACATACAAATCTGGGTGAAGCGATCACGCTCTGGCTCTTGCACCGTGTGGAAAACTCTTCAACCGATTCCTAACTTCACAAAATGCTCAGTCTTCACCAGTGCCAACACGACAGCGTGACAGTTCGAGTAGCACAGGCTTCGGTTAGCTGACCGAAATACTCCAACTAAGCCAACAGAACTGCCCAGCCAATCAGTCCGTGGGCAAAAGATCCCTTCCGCGGGCAAAACGAAACTTTCAAAGCTGGAAGTTCCCACCTCGTAGGAGCCGAAAACGCGGTGCGCGTTTAACGAACGACTAAGTAAACCGGCGATGGCAGAAGCTGAACGGTTGGATAGAAGTGCGGCAGACCTACGCCCCACAGTTACTGCAAACCGACTTCCTGCTGTTAAACTAGTACGCGTTTCTGGCGCATCCTGTGTAAGAAAATTAGAGAACTGTACTTGAAGTTGCGCTGAATCACTTGCAAACCCAATAAAGATATGTTCTGCTTGATTTCCACAACCCAGGAGATACCTCAACGAATCTCAACCTGCACCCGATGTTTTTTTTCACAAGGATCCAAGCAGTTCAATACTACCCCTATGCTAGGATATAACCCTTTTTTAGTACTTTCATTTTATTTTGTTTTAGTTGCATTTGATACAGCTGCTAATGGCCGTGCACAATCGCGTGTAGTTACTTATTTTTAAAAAAAGTGGCCCGACAATGTGGAGACGACACCGAGCTACACCAGACGCTCAAGCGCGCCATGAGACCAGGCCTGTCGACTGACGGGCATATGCCCTTAATGCCCTGACATTAAGGGCTAGTTTCGCTCCAGCTCCAATGCGTCAAGTTTTAGATTCGCACCCCACCCGTGCCACTAAGTGCTTCGTTCGACCCTTCCCCGGATGCGTTAAGGGACGAAACCAGGCCTTCCCCACTATCTAAGTTTTGGTTTCCGATCATAGGACCCCCCTCCCCCAAGGGTGCCAGAGACCCCCCCCCCCCCCCCCCCCCCCCCCCCCCTCTTTCTCCTTAGCCTGCACGAGAGCGCGCCGAGGGGATTTTTCCCTTAGCGTTTTCTAGCCAATCTCGTGTGTGTAGTGTGTCTCAGTCAGCCTTGGAGCACCCGAACATTCCCTTAGGGCGTGTTCCTACGCTTTTATCAGGCTAACCTCTTGTCAGCCTTGCCTGGTAAAAGTAGCGAGGGTTTCTGGGTTTAGGGAATTTTCAGTGTGTTTTGACTCAGCTTGATAAGAGGTTGGCCTGATAAGGGGCCGTAGGAACACGGCCTTAGCGTCCAATACGAGCTGGCCGCAGTTTACAGCTGTGACACATAGGTTGTTTTCCACATACGGTAGGTGTAAGTGAAAACTTCGCACATGCCCGGATTTCAAGTTTTCACTTTGGGGTGCGCCCGTGCCCGTTAAGGGCGCCAAAACGCTCACCTACACCCAACCAAGGGTCAGATGGGGAGGAGCTGGGGAGCGCAAGTACGAGCCCCAGAAACTTCGACAGGCCTGCATGAGACTCTCACCATGGACGAGGAGGGTGCCAGCAATGCAGGAACGAGTCAGTTCCGTGCTCGTAGTACTTGAGCTCGATGCAGAAAACGAGCTGCGTTTGCCAGCGGAAGCAACAGCTACGCCAACCGACATGAACAACTCCATGGTACGGCATCACTGGATACCGTATTTACCCGGGTAATAGACCCCCGGGTCTAATCCTACCCCGGAAAAAAAAGGGAGGTGGGGCTATTAGCTGGGTGTAAATGCATCAGACCCGGGGTCTAATCCTATATGCATATTTTTTCTAAGTGATGTCAAATACCCTTGTGTTACAGTATCAAAGGCCACCACTTTCGAAATGCGTCAGCGAAATTTTGTCCATGCGTCTGACGCGTGACTGACGCGCGTCTGGCGCATGACAGTTGGCTCCAATCAACTCACCTTAACCAGTTGCTCGTTATAGTTTGACTCGTAACAAGAAGGGCACGGTTAGGGGGGGTCTAATCCGAAATACATTGCCAAAAGGGGGGTTTATTACGAAAGTGCATTTAGCATTAGAGCCCCCCCCATTTAACGACCCGGGGGTCTATAATTATGGGGGGTCCATTACCCGGGTAATTACGGTAACCGCTTACAAGGTATTGTTTGCTGCCTACTGTAAAATGTGGCAGGAAGAACTCGCTTCGCTTGTGCCGACGTGGCATAAGATGTCTTCGATAGACCTCGGCTCTCGTGGCTACGACCATTTAGTCGTGTAATATTGCTCCCACCTTTTCTCTAAACGCAGCCCCCCAGACCCAACAGCAGAAGGAAAGGGGAAATCCCCAGAAAGAAGTTCACGATTGTACATAACTACATGTAGTAGGACTTGGGTTACAACATTGGGACAAGCAAAGTATGAATACAACAACCTATCTACCACAAGCAGGTGTATTTTTATTACTTTCCACCCTTCCCACCCTTGCCCCCCTTCCCTCCTTTCCCACCCTTTCCACCCTTCCCAGCCTTTCCGCCCTTTCCGGTGTTTGATGTGCCCGCGGTCTGGCTTTGATCCTGCCCGCCTGCTCCCCCCTGCTCCCCGCCAGCACCCCCCTGCTCTCCGCCGAGGCCTCCCTGTTGGCCGCCAGAGCCCCCCTGCTCTCCGCCGGATCCCTCCTGCTCTCCGCCAGGGCCCCCCTGCTCTCCGCCAGGGCCCCCCTGCTCACCGTCAGGGCCCCCCTGCTCTCCGCCAGGGCCCCCCTGCTCACCACCAGGCCCCCCCTGCTCTCCGCCAGGGCCCCCCTGCTCGCCACCAGGCCCGCCCTGCGCTCCGCCGGGCCCGCCCTGCTGGTTACCAGGCTTCCCCGCCTTTCCCCCCTTACCCCCTTTCCCTCCCTTTCCGCCCTTGCCTCCCTTGCCTCCCTTCCCACCTTTCCCTCCCTTTCCGCCCACGTCTCCGCCGGGACGGCCTACCCCAATGTCGCCGACACTGCCGGTATCTCCGCCAAAATCTCCGCCGATGTCTCCGCCACTGCCGGTATCCCCGCCATTGCCGGTATCCCCGCCATTGCCGGTTTCTCCGCCAGGGGCCCCCTGATCTCCGCCAGGCCCGCCCTGCTGGTTACCAGGTTTCCCTCCCTTTCCCCCTTGCCCCCTTTCCCTCCCTTTCCGCCCTTGCCGCCCACGTCTCCGCCGGGACCGCCTACCCCAATGTCGCCGCCACTGCCCGTATCTCCGCCAAAATCTCCGCCGATACCTCCGTCACTGCCGGTATCCCCGCCATTGCCAGTTTCTCCGCCAGGAGCCCCCTGCTCTCCGCCAGGCCCGCCCTGCTGGTTACCAGGTTTCCCTCCCTTTCCCCCCTTGCCCCCTTTCCCTCCCTTTCCGCCCTTTCCTCCCTTCCCACCCTTTCCGCCCTTTCCGCCACTCCCGCCGTTTCCGCCCTTTCCGCCACTTCCGCCGTTTCCGCCAGCTCCGATAAGTGGCGCGCCATCGCCGCCTTCCGGACTCCCATTGTCGCCACCAGGAGGGCCCTCAGGACCGCCCTGATCGCCGCCAGCGTCTCCGCCCGGACCCCCAGTGTCTCCACCAGTGTCGCCACCAGCTTCGCCGCCAATTTCGCCGCCAGTGTCGCCGCCAGTGTCGCCGCCAGTGTCACCACCAGTGTCTCCAGGATTGGCTAGGAGTGTAATGGTTGACGACCCCGGGAAGCTCATCAGCGAGAGGGCCCTGAGGGCCAGACTGCGACGCGAAGATAAGGTCCTTCCAAAAGCTGCGTGAAAAGGAGAGAAAGTGGTGAGACGCCGCTGAGTCTTCTCCCATAGCTGCTGCATGGTGGTGACGAAGTCGTGAGCGGCTTGGACGTGTGCCGGTGTGGTCGGCTGCTGTGGTGTGAGTGGTTCCCGTCCGTAACACAGGAAGAAAGGGGTTTTTCCTGTGGCCGCATGCGAGGCGTTGTTGTAAGCGAACTCTAGGGTTGGTAACTGTGTATCCCAGTGGCTGATGTCGTCCTTGCAAGCTGTACGCAGTAACTGTTCAACCACCTGATTGAGTCGCTCCGTCTGTCCGTCAGTCTGGGGATGGTATGCTGAAGACATGGCAAGCTTGGTCCCCAGCAGTCCCATAAGCTCCTTCCAGAACTTACTTGTGAATTTGAGGTCTCTGTCTGAGATAAGTGTAGCGGGGATGCCGTGGATGGTGATGATGCGGTCGAAGAAGAGGCGAGCAGTTGCTTCAGCTGTAGCTGTGGCGTTGGTCGGTATGAAATGACCCATTTTGGAGAACTTATCGATTACTACGAGGATGGAATCGTGTCCCCGTGAGGTCGAGGGAAGTCCTGTGATGAAGTCGAGGCTAACGACCTGCCATGGCTGCTCCGGTACGGGTAGAGGCTGCAGTAACCCTGCTTTTTTCTGCTTGCTATTCTTCATCCGCTGGCACGTGTCGCATGAGGTGACGAACTGCTGCACGTCTGCTGCCATCCGGGGCTAGTAGTAATACTTCGCTATTCCCGCTAACGTCTTGTTGCTCCCGAAATGTCCCGCGTATGGTACGTCATGAAACTCCTCTAGAAGGATCTGCCGTAGCGGGGCGTAGTTCGGTACCCAAATCTTTCCTGAACCCTTCCTTACCGCTAAGTCTTTCTCCCACTGTAACAGCTTCTGTTTCTCTGCCGTTTCGTCTCGCCGTCCACGGAGTACCCATGTTGGAATAGACCCTTGAGCAGAGGGTTCATTCCGTCGAGCTGGATGCCTGCTACATGACCGGGGCGGCTCAACGCGTCAGCTTTGTTGTGGAGCCCGGGTTTGTAGACGATGTCGTAGTGGAAGTGAGTTTCCAAGAAATCCACCCACCGCACCTGTCGTCGTGAGAGCATCGGCTGCGACTTCAGGTACTTAAGACTGCAGTGGTCAGTGTATACTGTGGTCTTGGCTCCCTCTAGGTAACACCTCCACGCCTTAAAGGCTACGACTATAGCTAAGGCTTCCTTGTCGTGAATGGGGTAGTTCAGTTCTGCTCCGTGTAACTTCTTACTGAGGTAGGCGATAGGCTGTAACCCGTTCCCGTGATCCTGCATCAGTACTGCTCCGACTGCTTGGTCACTAGCGTCTACTTCAACTACGTAGTCCTTGTCTGGATCCGGTAGGATGAGTACTGGCGCTATAGTCAGTGCTGTCTGTAGCTGCTCCATGGCTTGCTGATGAGGAGTATCCCATTTGAAGGGCGTATCCTTTTTCAGTAGGTCTGTCAGTGGCGCTGCTATCTTAGCGTACTGCGGCACAAACCTGTTGTAGTAGTTGGCGAAGCCGAGGAACTGCTTCACGTTCTCCGGAACTTTCCACTTTTTAACGGCTTCGATCTTCCGCGGGTCCACGTGTACGCCCTCGGCACTCACCATGTGCCCGAGAAACTGCACCTTCTTCAGGGCGAAGTCGCTCTTCGACAGCTTCACGTAGAACTTATTTTTCCGCAGGATCTCGAACACCTTCCGCAAATGCTCCACGTGCTCCTTCATGTTCTTGGAGTAGATGAGGATATCGTCCAGGTACACTACTACGCATTCGTCCAGCAGGGGCCGGAGGATGTGGTTCATCTCTGCCTGGAACGTCGCGGGTGCGTTGCAGAGTCCGAACGGCATCACCAAGTATTCGTAGGAGCCGTATCTTGTACGGAACGCCGTCTTGTGGATCGAGTTGTCCGCCATCTTGATCTGCCAGTAACCCGACCGTAGGTCCAGCTTTGAGAACACTGTTGCACCACGCAGTTGGTCCAGTAAGTCGTCGATGCGCGGTATGGGGTATTTATTTTTAACTGTCTGTTTGTTCAGTGCGCGGTAGTCGATGCACATCCGTAGACTGCCGTCTGGCTTTGGGGTGAAGAGAACTGGTGCACCGTAGGGAGATGTGGATGGGCGGATCAGTTGTCTGTCCAGTAAATATTCGATCTGTTTTTTCATGTCTGTCAGCTCGGTCGGACTCAGTCGGTATGGTGCACGTGAGACGGGTTTCGCACCTGGTTCCTCCACGATCTCGTGCTCGTGGGTGCGTGCTGGAGGTACGCCTGCAGGTAGGTCGTCGGACATTATCTCCTTGTACTGCTCCAAGACCTCCTTCACTGCTGCAGGTAGCTCGGAACTCGGCTTCTCCTCCTCTGCTGCTGCCATGACCAGTGCTAAGTAACCCGTGTTGCTCTCGTTTACCGTCTGTTCGAACCGTGCCAGTGTCGTTTCAAGAATGTCCCCTGTATCCATCCAGCTTCGCAGTGCTATCCGCTTCCCGTCGCTGTAGATGCACACTTTGCTGTTGACCCAATCTATCTCGGGGTTGAACCGCTTCAGGAAATCTCGCCCCAAGATGAAATCTAGTCCCTTGATATTGGTGATCGGCAACGTCGGCTTCCACCTTAGCGCCCCTATGTGCAGCTGCAGTGATGCTTCGCCGTGGATGGGAAGCTTCGTACCGTCCACCATTGTTGCAGAGAATTGGGTCTCCTCCGCTTTTTCTCCAATTTTCTCCAATGTTCTGCGGTCACACACCGAGTGAGATGCACCGCTGTCCACCAGTGCCTGGAGGCGTCGCCCATTGCATAACACCTCGAGGAGTAGTGGTTTCTGCTGCGCTGAGTAGCCAAAGAGGGTCTCATTAATAGGATCATAGGGTACATCAAAATGAATACCTTCCCTATTTCCTATACCTGACTCAGCACTTTCCAACTTCACCTGGGGGGTAGGAGGATTTTTCCGAGGCTTGTATAATTTCTCCTGAGCCTGGATGTCCCCTCTAAGCCTTTGCAGCTGTGTAGGCTTCACCTGTGGGCAACGGGGAGCCTTAACACTATGCTGTGGGGAGAGAATATTAACTCCACGGAACGCACGACCCTTTTCTACGCTCCGTAGTACTTTGCCCAACTTCTCAGGTACCTGAATGATTTCTAAAGGCTTTTTCTTGGCCTCTAAACCTCCCCTGAATTTTTCAAAGGCTTGAAAACCACGAGAAGCAATGTTTTTCGTTAGAGTATCTTTATAGGATACTTTTAACGAATTCTTACTTTCGTGGGTGTTCGGCTGGAGTTTCCCGGTCGGTGCAGAGTCTTTTTTCGCGGAGCCTCCATTCGCCTCGGCGATTTCCCCTGATGCCGGCCGGTCGTGACGTTTTAAATTCGCGCCATCATTTTCTCCTTTTTTCACCCGCTCCGAAGTCGCCACGTCGTCGCCTTTTTCTCCTTTTCGGATCTTTACGCGATCGCCAGGTCGATCCGCGGCTACTGGCGATTGCCGTTTTTTTACTTCGGGGGTGCTCCACTGTTACCGCCCCGGAGTGCCGCACGTGCCTTCTTCATTTTGTAGCACGACAAAAACTGATGCCCTGCTGCGCCGCAAAACTCGCATTTTGTCGGCTGCTGCTTCGCGTCGTATTTGTCGATATCCATCGGTTCGGCGAACGTGGGGGGTGCCGATCGCTCCGTGCCGAATGTACGGTTCGGCGCGAAACGTCGTGTTTCGGGTTGACCTCGAGTCAACGCGTCGTATCGCTCGGCAGCACGCACGATGTCGCGATAGCTGTTGTAATTCGCCGCAATCACCTGCCGCCGAATCTCTAATTTTAACCCTTCTGTGTACGCCTGGATTTTTTCGCCTTCGGTCAGGTCGGTGATGCGGTTGAACAGTAGCTCCATCTGCTGCGTGTACTGTGCTACACTACTGTATTGCTTGTGTCGGTGTATCTGCTGCCGCGCCATGTAGGTCGTGTTAATCGGTTCGAAACGTTCGATTAAGTCTGCCCGAAACTGCGCCCACGATTTCTCCCCGCGGGCCACGTCAGTGTAGTAAATCCACTCCAGTGCCGGTCCACGTAACAGTGTCGCTGCGAGCCGAATCCTTGCTGCGTCGTGTGTCGGGGTCGAACAGCCAATGGCCTCGAAGTAAATTTCGAGGGTTGCCACGAATCGCCGGACGTCGGATCCCTTCGCGCTGGGATCGAACGCTTCAGGGAGCCTCGGTCGTGCTGCTTCGAGGTTCGGCGACAGTGGTGCCATCGGTCCGTGAAATGTCGGTGTCGCCACTGCTGCTGGTGTTGTCGCTGCTACGTTCGCTGCTGCCGTCGCTGCTGCTGCGGTGGCGATTCCTGGTTGGTGTGTCAGAAGGGCCTCGAGTCGTCGTAGCGCCGCCTGCGTCTGCTCCATGTCGGTGCGGAGGCTCGCGATGTCGCTCGTGGTCGCATAGTTGTCGCCTTGGCCCTCCATGCCTGACATTGCGCGTCCGAAAAAACCGAAACGAGGGGGAGCGAAAAACACGGAACCGGTTTTACGTACCCGAAATCGATGTTTTAACAGCGTCGCCCCCGCGGTTTTTGAAGACTCGGTTTTAGCGGTCGAAAAAACTTTCGCGTGTAAACGGGCTCTGATTACCAAGTGTGAGGATCTAGGATCGAGCCCAGAAGAGAGCTTGAATTGAATGATCACCTGGGTACAACACGAGGCTATATATAGGCTCGACACAAGGGGCAGTAACCAGGTGTTACGCGAAGGTTCTGGGGGTCGCGAAGCGTCCCGAACAGACCCTTCCCGAATTCGGTAGAAGGCAATTCGGTGGCAACCGAATAGCCCAGAATTCGGTGTACGCAACCTAGTGATAGAATCTGACAGCAGGAATGAATGCATTGATCAAGAGTTGGGTACATAAGCTAACCCTAACATTGGGTTGTACCCCATATGGGCTACCCCACTAGCAGCCTACACAAACACAATATGCATAGTTTGACACACCCCCATAGGCAAAGTGGGGGAGAACAAGGGGTCACAAGACCAGTCAAGAGAAACAAAACAAGCTCAGGGTGGATCACAACGTCACCACACACACTGAGCACAAGCAAAGTGTCACAAGGCCTGTCCACATGCAGAGGTATATATGCAACAAACAAAGTACAGTGATCACTACCTAGCAAGAGCAAGCATGCAGATATATATATATATATAAAGATCACAGTACAGGCAGAGTCTACAGCAAGTGTGGAAACGTAGGCACAAGGCCCAACAAGGTACAAAAGCGCTGATGATCACCAGACGGAAGTGCCTTGGTGAATATATCAGCAGTGTTGGCCCGAGTGGCCACGTGTGCAAGACGAAGCTGACCACGCTGCTGCAACTCTCGAGCCAGGAAGTAACGCAGAGCGATGTGCTTCGTTCTGTGCTCTAGTCTGTGCTCCTCACACAAGGCAATGGTCGCCTTGTTGTCAACGTACAGAACTGGAGGAGAACGAGGCCGCTCTCCCAGGTCGGTCAGCAGGTACGTGAGCCAGCGCAGCTCCTGAGCAGCCATGGCGGTGGCGTAGATCTCAGCCTCACAACTGGAGCGAGTAGAACGCCACGAAACAGAACCAGAGCCGAGGCTGAAAGTGTAACCCTGTGACGACCGCTGTGTAGCCTGGTCGTCAACCCAAGACGCGTCTGAGTGCCCAGTGAGGACCACCTCTCGCCGTCCTCCAAGCACGAGCCCCATGCCCGATGTACTGCACAAGTAGCGCAGTACCCTCTTCGCAGCATCCCAGTGCACCTTTCGGTGCCGACCAGGAGCCACGTAGCGGGCCAAAAGGCCAAGAGGGTACGCAAGGTCAGGACGAGTGCAAGTCATCAGGTACATGAGGCAGCCTACTAGCTCTGGGTAAGGACCACTTGGCTCTACGGACTCGTCCGAAGGTGGAGCTGAGAGCGAGTGACCTGTAGCCAGAGGAGTGGACTGTGCCGAGGACCAGGTGAAGCCGAAGCGCTGAAGGACCTGCTGCACCATGTGTGACTGAGTCAGAGTGATGGTGCGACGTGCTCTGTCCCGGGTGATCTGCAAGCCAAGGTAGCTGCGCAGCTCACCCAGATCTGTGCACGTGTGTCTCTTCTGCAGCTCGGACTTCACCAGGGCGAGAGCCTCAGTGTCAGCAGTGGCAAAGACCAAGTCGTCGACGTACACGAGGATGTAGAACGGCGGCAGCGAAGTGTCGGTGCGCAGAAACAGTGACGGGTCAGCTGTGGAGGGCGCAAACCCGAGAGCCGCAAGCGTAGTCCTCAGTGTGTCGTGCCACTCACGAGGCGCCTGACGGAGACCGTAGACTGGCCGGCGGAGGCTCCACTGGGTACCAGGAGGGAACGACCCAGTGAAGCCAGGTGGGCGGTGCAGCCAGATCTCCTCGTGCAGGCTGCCCTGCAAGAAAGCTGTGCTGAAGTCAAGCGAGTGAAGCTCGTAGTCACGCTGGGCGGCAACGTGCAGCAGTACCCGAAGAGTGCCTTGAAGACAGGCGGAGAACCAGGCGGCCGCTTCACCCTGAAAATCCACATGCCACTGACGATGTTCGCCCCAGGAGGGGGAACGTCGTCGACGTAGGTGCCTGTGGACTTCCAGGATGCCATCTCTGCGTCCATGGCTGCCTGCCACTGAGAGGAGTAGGGACCCGCGACCGCCTCAGCGTACGAGCGCGGGGTGGGGATGTCTAGTGCATCCGGGTCTCCCTCAGGGGCAAGCAGCATGGTCACGAGATGAGGCGCAGCGGCTGCAAGACACTCAAGGTCCTCGTGCCTGTCCTCAAGGACGTCCGTGCTAAGAGCACACTCACCCCCGACGGACGGAGGACAGACAGACTCAGACTCAGCGACAAGACTAGCAGCGTAGTCTAGACGACAGGCAGCCGCAAAGTCAACAAGCTCAGCAACCAAAGCTGTCGCAGCAGCAGACTCAAACGAGGGGTCAGTGACAACAGTGGCGAGCAGACGCGTGACAGTAGGGTGCTCAGCACGAAACCGGTCAGACTCAGGGTCCGGAACGTGAGGCAAGGAAGACGCAGGAGGAGACGGCAGAGAAACAGACTGCGGAACAGAGGAAGGACGACGGACGACAAGGTGTGCGGTGGGGACAGGCGGCGAACGCGGACGAGGAACACGACGACCGGTACGACTAGGACGAACAGGCGAGACAGGACGCGACGCAGGCTCACGACGCTCAGCAAGACTACCCGTCCGCTCAGTGTAAGGAGAAGGAGCAGGCAGCGGTGAGCCAGGCTGTAACGGAAGACCAGTAGACGACGGGAGAGTAAGAACCTGACGAAGAACAGAGTCAGGCGGCGGCAGAGACGACGGAGACGGCGGAGTGAAGAACAGTCGTGGCGGCGCAGCTGCACCAGAACCGGCAGCTCCAGCAGCTCCAGTACCCCCAGCAGCTCCAGCACCTCCAGCAGCTCCAGAAGCTCCAGCAGCAGAACCGACACCTCCAGGCCCAGGGTCTCCAACCCCAGTGCCTCCAGCAGCAGCACCCCCAGAACCAGTACCTCCAGTCCCAGGGTCTCCAGCCTCCACGTCTCCAGCAGCAGCACCCCCAGAACCAGCACCTCCAGTCCCAGGGTCTCCAGCCTCCACGTCTCCAGCAGCAGCACCCCCAGAACCAGCACCTCCAGTCCCAGGGTCTCCAGCCTCGGTGTCTCCAGCAGCAGCACCTCCAGACGCAGCACCCCCAGCCCCAGCAGCTCCAGTACCTCCAGTACGAGCACCTCCGGGACCAGCGACTCCAGCACCTCCAGTAGAAACAGTACCAGCACCACTCCTAGCGCCAGGGACGGCAGCAGAAGTACCTCCAGCAGTAGAGCCCCGGGCTCCAGCAGCGCAACCGTGACGGCGACCGTACCAGCCGTGCAGCTGCTGCGAGGTGAGAGGCACACGTGGACGAAGGCGGCTACTCCAAGGAGACCGCGCAACAGCAGACTCTGAACCCTCAGCGCCAGCACCCTCAGCAGCTCCAGCGCCACCAGCACCAGGACCTCCAGCAGCTCCAGAACCTCCAGCGCTAGCACCCTCAGCAGCCCCAGAACCACCAGCTCCAGCACCTCCAGACCCCTCACACTCAGGCTCAGCACCTCCAGGCTCTACACCCTCAAGCTCCGCACCCCCAGGCTCCGCACCCCCAGGCTCAGCACCCCCAGACTCAGCACCCCCAGAAGTAGCACCCCGAGCAGGACCACCCCCAGCAGGACCTGAGTCACCAGTGACCTCAATCGGCGCAGGGAAGGGAGGAGGGTCTACCTGAGACACACCTGAGGGAGCAGGACCTGGAGCGGGGAGAGGGTCGACCTGGGGAGCACCTGGAGCGAGGAAGAGCGGCGGGGGAGGGAGAGGGGCAGTGCGGTAGGGGAAGAGACGGTAAAAGGGAACCGACTCGTCGAACGTGACGTCCTGAGACGCAAAGACACGACGCGAGGTGGGGTGGTAAAACTGCCAACCAGGCGCGTCAGGGACAAAGCCAAGAAAGACACATGGAACCGCATGGGCGGAGAGCTTGTCCGCGGTGGTATCGCGGACAAAGGCACGAGCACCCCAGACCCGGAAACGCGACGCATCGCCAACCTTCCCCGTCCACAGCAGTGTGGGCGAGGTCTCCGGCAAGGAGACACGGGGCCAGAGGTTGAGCTAATGCGCGGCGTACCGGACCGCAAACGGCCACAGAAAATGGGGGGCAGCCGCATGGATCATGGAGGTACGAGCGACCTCCATGACTAAGCCAATGCGGCGCTCAGCAACCCCATTCTGCTGCGGAGAGTCCGGAAGCGTGAACGACTGGGTGATGCCGTGCTCCGCACAGAAGGCTGCCAAGAGGTCGGAGGAGAACTCACCACCTCTGTCAGAGTGCAGACGCAGGACGGGAAACTCCGTCCCGAACCGCTCGCGGAGCTGGAGACGGGCAGCGCGGATCCAAGGGATCAAAACAGCAGGGACCTCCCCCTTGCTGCGCAGGGGAAAGACCGTGGTGTAACGCGTGTAGTCGTCAACAACCAGCAGGAAGTACCGCTCGTGGCCCTGTCCACGGACGCGGGCTGGGCCCCACACGTCCAGGTGGAGAGTCTGCAGGGGAGCCTCTGTGGGAGGGAACGAGGAGGAGTGAGGAGCGGCGCGCTGCCGCCCCTCGACGCAAGGAATGCAGGGCGGCGCAAGCGAGGGAGGCAGGGCAGGCAAAGACCTGGGCAGACCAGAAACCAGGAAGCGAGAGTGCATGCCACGAAGGCGCTGCACGGAGGGGTGACCAAGGCGGTGGTGCCACAGGAGGGTCTGGTGCGACAAAGCGCGACACTCGCAGGGGGCCGTCGGCTGACCGGACGCAGACGCAGACGCAGCTACCTGAGCGGACGCAGTGGTCAGGGTGTACAGACTCGAGCCAGGCGCACGGGAAAACGTGGCCAGGTGTCGGCCGGTCCGAGCACACGTACAGTGAGTCACCCGCTGACTCGCAGGAGTGAACTGGTGCACCCCCTGATCCTGGAGGTCAGCTCCACTCACCAAGTTCGTAGAGAACGAGGGGAGGTAAAGACCTGACAGCAAGCCAGACGGGGCGGCCGGACACGGCAGAACCGTGGAGTAGTGGGCAAGGACTGGACCCCCAGAGGGGTCCGCCAGGGAGACTGCAACCGGCCGACTAAGCGGCGTGAGTGTGGTGCAGTCGCGAAAGAAGGAGCGGGAAGCACCTGAGTCAAGTGTACAAGGCCGCAGCAGGCGCAGAACTAGAGAGAGCAGACCCACCAGCACCTGGAGCAGGAGACGTACCGGCACCTAGAGCAGCAGCCTCACCAGTACCGGGAGCAGCAGGTGCTATACCAGGGTCAGGCGGGACGCACAGGTAACAGGCACGGTCAACACTAGTAGGCAATGCATACATGGCAGTGAGAATAGCATCATAGTCAGGAGCAAAGATATCTACCCTCTGTCCAAGCAGCTCCAGCCAGTCGGGGAGCTCAGCCTCGTCGCCAAACACTGTACGCCAGTCGTCGCTCAGACGGGCGAAGCAGCGGGACTGTGTGTGACCAAGCGTCCCGCAAGGCTGACCAGTCCTATCACCTGTGCGAAGGACGTACTGGCAGCGAACTGTACGCGTAGACCTGCTACACTGAGCGTACCACTCGTGGAGCTGCCGGGACGTAAGTGTCTCGCGTGGACGCCGCTGCAGCTGCAGCTGGCCACTGCCAGTCGCTCCCAACTGACCAGCTCCAGGGGGACAGCTACGACTGCTACCGCGACAACCCCAGCTAGTATACCACTCACTAAGCTGCTGGGGCGTGAGAGACTCACGTGAACGTCGCTGGGGCTGCATCTGGCCACCGGCCAGTAGCAGTAGCAGCAGCAGTAGCGCGGGCAGGGCAGGCGCGGCAGGCCGACAGGCAGGCAGGCCGGCAGGCAGACAGGCCGGCAGGCAGGCAGGCAGGCAGGCAGGCAGACAGGCAAGCAGGCAGACAGGCAGGCCGGCAGGCAGGCAGGCAGGCAGGCAGGCCGGTAGGCAGGCAGGCAGGCAGGCAGGCGCTCACCAAAGGCTGGAAGAGCAGGCGCTCGCCGGGCGAGCAGGGCCGGCGCTCAACGGGCGGCGGCGGAGTAGGCGCACGACAGCGGCGACGTCGGGGCCGCAACACCCGGTGCAGAGTAGGGCCGAAGCAGCTGCAGGCGGGGCCGCTTCAGCGGCAGGTCGGGGCCGTGGCAGCTGCAGAGCGGGGCCGTATCAGCGGCAGGTCGGGGCCGAGGCAGAGGGACGCGCGCGGCTCGGCGCGGGCTGCGCTGACAGCGCGCTGGGCTGCTGCAGGCCGCGCGCGGCCGCGCTAGGCAGTGGCGAGCCGTGCGCGGCTCGGCACGGGCTGCTGCGAGCCGCGCGCGGGCCTCGCGAGGCAGGAGTAGGCCCGCGCGCGGCGCTACGCGGGCTGCGTGGGCTCGGCGCGGGCTGCGCGCGGCTGCAGCGGGCTGCGCGCGGCTCGGTGCGGGCTGCGCGCGGCTGCAGCGGGCTGCGCGCGGCTCGGTGCGGGCTGCGCGCGGCTGCAGCGGGCTGCGCGCGGCTCGGTGCGGGCTGCGCGCGGCTGCAGCGGGCTGCGCGCGGCTCGGTGCGGGCTGCGCGCGGCTGCAGCGGGCTGCGCGCGGCTCTGTGCGGGCTGCGCGCGGCTGCAGCGGGCTGCGCGCGGGTCTGTGCGGGCTGCACGGGCTCGGTGGGGGCAGCTCGCGGTAGCAACGGGCTGCGCGCGGCTCGGTGCGGGCTGCGCAGGCCTGGAGGGCGTGTAGGGGCGGCGCGCGGGCCTTACGGGCCTGCAGGGGCAGCGCGCTGGCCTAGGGCAGCAGGAGGCAGCGCTAGGGCTGCTGGACGGCTCGCGTAGTGCAGCACGTCACAAGGCAAGGCAAGGCAGGCAGGTACGTGGGGTAGCGCGGTAACCGCAGTGGTAGGTGGGCCCGAAAAAAAAACGGTCCTACGGACCTTAGTGCTCTGAAACCATGTTAGAATCTGACAGCAGGAATGAATGCATTGATCAAGAGTTGGGTACATAAGCTAACCCTAACATTGGGTTGTACCCCATATGGGCTACCCCACTAGCAGCCTACACAAACACAATATGCATAGTTTGACACCTAGATCGGTGCTATAACTATAATAAAATATAGGAAAGCACCTAGCCTAGGAAATCAAGCAATTCATGCATGCATAAAATAAACATAAGCTAGAAGTAGCATAATAAAGTAAAGGCAGGCATGCATAGCTGGCATAAGCCGTCGTACTCTCACACTTTGAGTCGACTCAAAAGAAGGCGAGGAGGGAGACATGGGCTTTGAGTCGACTCAAAAGCAGGCGAGGAGGGAGACATGGGCTTTGAGTCGACTCAAAAGAAGGCGAGGAGGAAGACATGGGCTTTGAGTCGACTCAAAAGAAGGCGAGGAGGGAGACATGGGCTTTGAGCCGACTCAAAAGAAGGCGAGGAGGGAGAGATGGGCTTTGAGCCGACTCAAAAGAAGGCGAGGAGGGAGACATGGGCTTTGAGCCGACTCAAAAGAAGGCGAGGAGGGAGACATGGGCTTTGAGCCGCCTCAAAAGAAGGCGAGGAGGAAGACATGGGCTTTGAGCCGACTCACAAGAAGGCGAGGAGGAAGACATGGGCTTTGAGCCAACTCAGAAGAAGGCGAGGAGGGAGACATGGGCTTTGAGTCGACTCAGAAGAAGGCGAGGAGGGAGACATGGGCTTTGAGTCGACTCAGAAGAAGGCGAGGAGGGAGACATGGGCTTTGAGTCGACTCAGAAGAAGGCGAGGAGGGAGACATGGGCTTTGAGTCGACTCAGAAGAAGGCGAGGAGGGAGACATGGGCTTTGAGTCGACTCAGAAGAAGGCGAGGAGGGAGACATGGGCTTTGAGTCGACTCAGAAGAAGGCGAGGAGGGAGACATGGGCTTTGAGTCGACTCAGAAGAAGGCGAGGAGGGAGACATGGGCTTTGAGTCGACTCAGAAGAAGGCGAGGAGGGAGACATGGGCTTTGAGTCGACTCAGAAGAAGGCGAGGAGGGAGACATGGGCTTTGAGTCGACTCAGAAGAAGGCGAGGAGGGAGACATGGGCTTTGAGTCGACTCAGAAGAAGGCGAGGAGGGAGACATGGGCTTTGAGTCGACTCAGAAGAAGGCGAGGAGGGAGACATGGGCTTTGAGTCGACTCAGAAGAAGGCGAGGAGGGAGACATGGGCTTTGAGCCGACTCAGAAGAAGGCGAGGAGGGAGACATGGGCTTTGAGCCGACTCAGAAGAAGGCGAGGAGGGAGACATGGGCTTTGAGCCGACTCAGAAGAAGGCGAGGAGGGAGACATGGGCTTTGAGCCGACTCAGAAGAAGGCGAGGAGGGAGACATGGGCTTTGAGCCGACTCAGAAGAAGGCGAGGAGGGAGACATGGGCTTTGAGTCGACTCAGAAGAAGGCGAGGAGGGAGACATGGGCTTTGAGCCGACTCAAAAGAAGGCGAGGAGGGAGACATGGGCTTTGAGTCGACTCAAAAGAAGGCGAGGAGGGAGACATGGGCTTTGAGTCGACTCAAAAGAAGGCGAGGAGGGAGACATGGGCTTTGAGTCGACTCAGAAGAAGGCGAGGAGGGAGACATGGGCTTTGAGTCGACTCAGAAGAAGGCGAGGAGGGAGACATGGGCTTTGAGTCGCCTCAGAAGAAGGCGAGGAGGGAGACATGGGCCAGAAGGAGGAGAGTTGGAAGAAATTGGGAGGAGCTCGGCGCGGAGGAGGCATGCGATGTAATGCACTCGCACGCCCTCCCTGTGGATGGGACAGTGGGAGGAATGGGGAAGTGAGCTACACGTTGAACTGCAAGTGCCTAGCGAGATGGAAGGCGACGGGTGCTCCGGGGAGGAAGCTGGCCATGTGCTGCACTCGCACGCCCTCTCTGGATAACGGGGCGGAAAGTTTGGAAGCGGGTTGGAAGGGCAGAGTGGATACAGAGGGCAGCAAGGAGACACGGGGAGCAGGAGGGCGAGGAGGAAGCATGCCACGTGCTGCACTCGCACGCCCTCCCTGTGCTACACGTTGCATTGCAAGTGCGTAGCGGGATGGATGGCGACGGGTGCTCCGGGGAGGAGTGGGGAGGGAGGAGTGGGGAGGGAGGAGTGGGGAGGGATGAGTGGGGAGGGAGGAGTGGGGAGGGAGGAGTGGGGAGGGAGGAGTGGGGAGGGAGGAGTGGGGAGGGAGGAGTGGGGAGGGAGGAGTGGGGAGGGAGGAGTGGGAACCGAGCAACGCGTTGCATTGCAAGGGAGGGAGCATGCAATGTGCTGCCCTCGCACGCTCTACCCAACTCCGGCCGCTCTTCGCTGTGCTGCACGGCGCTCACACCCACACTCACTAGCTCGACACTTGCACCCACACTCACTTGCACTCACTAGTAACCGAAGACCAGGGAAACGTAAAGCATGCACTTGGATACAACAATTGGTACAACATCATGAAAATAAAATTACAATAACCTATCATTTGCGACAGATTTTTATTTCTTTCCACCCTTCCCTCCTTTCCCACCTTTCCCACCCTTTCCGCCCTTGCCACCCTTTCCGCCCTTGCCAGTTCCCCCTGCTCCCCCCTGCTCTCCGCCAGATCCGCCCTGCTCTCCGCCAGATCCGCCCTGCTCTCCGCCAGATCCGCCCTGCTCTCCGCCAGACCCGCCCTGCTCTCCGCCAGACCCGCCCTGCTCTCCGCCAGATCCGCCCTGCCCTCCGCCGGATCCTCCCTGCCCTCCGCCAGCCTTCCCTCCCTTTCCCCCCTTGCCCCCCTTCCCTCCCTTTCCGCCCTTTCCTCCCTTCCCTCCTTTTCCGGCCTTGCCCCCCTTTCCGCCAGCTCCGCCAGTTTCTCCGCCTCCGCCCGCATCGCCGCCTTCCCCAGCGGCTCCGCCAATGTCTCCGCCAGCGTCTCCGCCAGTATTTCCGCCAGTATCTCCGCCAGTATCTCCGCCAGCGTCTCCGCCAAAACCCCCCTGCTCTCCGCCAGGCCCGCCCTGCTGGTTACCAGGATTCCCTCCCTTTCCCCCCTTGCCCCCGTACCCTCCCTTTCCCCCCTTTCCCCCCTTCCCACCCTTCCCTCCCTTCCCTCCCTTCCCGCCCTTTCCGCCCTTTCCGCCCTCCCCGCCCTCTCCGCCTGCCCCGATAAGGGGCGCGCCATCGCCGCCTTCCGAGGAACCCCCATTGTCGCCGCCAGGGGGGCCGTCAGAACCGCCCTGACCGCCGCCTGCGCCTCCGCCAGGACCCCCAGGTTCTCCGCCAGTCTCTCCGCCAGTCTCTCCGCCATTGTCTCCGCCGGTATCACCGCCAGTTTCTCCGCCTGTGTCTCCGGGATTGGCTAGTAGAACTTCCGAGTCGGGTCTCTTGAGCGAGAGGGCTCTGAGGGCCAGACTGCGACGAGAAGATAAGGTCCTTCCAAACGCTGCGTGAATAGGAGAGAATACGAAAGTATTTAGGCGACACGTGGACGCAGAATGATTCGGAGGATCGGAAAAGTGTACGTAACGGCGCAAGAGGGATGACAGTGCGAGGAAACAGAAGTGTTATTTGGGAGAAGGAATCTGAGATGTTGGTGAACTTTTGAGTCGACTCAGTCTCAAAAGTCAACACAGTGCGAGGAAACAGTAGTGTTATTAGGGAGGAATCTGAGATGTTGGTGAACAAGCGGTGATACGAGGTGTGGGACCTTACCGGGCGCGACGGAGGCTGACGCTACGAAAAGCGCAAGAAGCAGCAGGGGCAAAGTTATGCCTCGCATCGTGTAAACCATTGTGTATTCAACGCTTGTCGAAGCGCCACGAACTAGCAAAAGCAGCGGATGTCGCGGAGCGAAGTAGAGCGTATTGAAGCGAACAGGGAATGACTATTGTAGAGCTCGTAGTATGAGGCGGGAACTGATAATTACGATTGGGGCGACGAGTGTTCTTATAGGAGGGTGGTGAGAACGCGGCTCGCACTTGCACACTTGTATTTACACAGGCCAGAAATTGTTTGGAACGCACAGTTGGCGGGAAATGTGTTTTCGCGCCAGGTGAACTCCGCGAGTTTCGCTGCTCCGAGTTTCATAGGCCAGGGAGTTGCGACTGTGGCGTGGCGAGCGTCGCGAGGCTGGTTACTGTAGCGATGAGGCTGGCGAACTCGATTTCTTTTGCAAATTTCCCAACATGTGAAGGTGGTTCGCAACAAATCACGGTTCACAACATACTGTACTCGACCAATAGTCACGGCGCGCGGCAAGTTCAGATTGCAGGTGGAAACTGCATTGGTCGCGCTTGTTGAAACCGGTTGACCTGATCCCACCTGAGATGGAGGCGTCGAGTTCATCCATGGAAATTGCGGATGATGCGGCAGCAAATCCTGTGGCAAAGAGAATGTACTCATTATATCTGTACTCGTATACAATTAGGGATTTGTCATTTTTCCTGCAGTTCTACGTATAACAGCATGACAAATTACCCAAGATAGGGATACACTGCGATCTTCAATTGTGCTGGTGTGATTAGGTTGCCAAACCCAACCCAACAAGAGAGGGATTTTGGTAGCCCCACAGGTTATGGTAGACTGAATGCTATGCGCTACTACCGGTAGCACCTTCTGTTCTTAGCCCTGGTTATGAAGTCCGATTGTGCATCCCATACGGATTCCAAATAATAAAACAGGTCATGTACAATTAGTACACTCATACATCCTGATGACGTGTGGGTCAGGACTCGGACTAGGGGTAGTTCATTCATGCATGGGAGCTCACTATAAATGATGTCAGGGAGACAAAAAGAAGGCAAGAACCCCCGTAAAGGACACTTGTGAGGATACGATGGTGGCGAATGATTTGTTGTTGGTGCCGAATGTGCAAATGTGAGTTGAGAAGATGTGAGGGAAACGGGAGAAGCAGGCGGAGGAGGTTTAAGAGAATGGCCTCTCCATCAAGGAAGAAAATCTGAAGGGAGAAGCGGAAGGGAAGGAAGAGAGAGGGGGGGAGAGAGGGGGAGGGGGGTGGAGCATATTAAGAAATAGAGTAGTGGGTTTGGAGGATGAGAGGAAAAGGGGAGAAGCAGGCGGAAAAGGTTTGAGGGAATGGCCTCTCCATCCAGGAAGATAAGGGATTAGATGGGTAAAGTTGAGAAATAAGGTTTATAAGGGTTTATAAGGGTTGAAAAAATACTGTTAGATGAATGGGTTCGTAGGCTTAGGCCATGGGCGTGGTGGTTGAAAGAGAGAACGTTATAATGAGGATGGGAAAGAGACAAGGAATTACAATAGTAAACAACGGCATTGAAGATTATGGCTTGTAACATAAAGTTGAGGCAAGAAAATGAAACGGAACGGTAGAGAATGGGAGTGTAGATGACGAAGAGCAACAGCAAAACAGCAAGTGAAGGAGGGTACACAGGTACCTTAGCGCAACATCCTTGGATTAAAGCAAGAGGCACGATACTAGTGCATTTCTCCGAACTAATTCGATGAAAACAGAAAGATGTAAAACTCACAGGAGCAGCGTTGATGAGGGCAAGAGCATTGGACACGTGGAAGACAAAGAGAGTGACACGTGTCACCACCACAGGGCCCCACAATGGTGCTGAAATCTGAAGCATCGATGGTGGCGATGCTGGTAACAGGGATGAACGGTCGTGATGCTGCTCTTGCCCTTCCTCCCTCTCCTCATGATCCTGATCTTTCTGCTCTTGTTGCTCTTGCTGCAGCACCTGCTGCTGTTTCTCCTGCACCTGCCGCCCTTGCTGCTGCTGCTGCTGCTGCTGCTGCTGCTGCTGCTGCTGCTGCTGCTCATCTTTCTGCAGCATGTTTGGAGCACGCAAGAATCTCCTGGGTCCCACCGTGTGTGTAGGCATGTGTGTCGCATGGTTAGTCAGTGTGAGAGGGAGAGTGAGTGTGCGCGGATGCCATGGGGAGAGTGAGAGACCCTGAGCAAAAAATTCTATGGTGCCAACAAACACTAGAGAGGAGGGAGAGGAGGGAGAGGAGGGAGAAGAGGAGGAAGGAGAGGAATTAGAAGAGGAGGAGGTGGAGGAGAGTGAGTAGGAGGAGGGTGAATAGGAGGAGGGACGAAACTGTACGAGAAACAGCAGATGGTGATCGGGAAGGACGGGGACCATACAGACGGATCCCTGGTGGTGAGGGAAACACAAAACAAGGAAAGGAATATGTGAGCTTTTTTTAGTCGGACAAAAACAAACAAACGAACAAACATACAAACCAACGAACAGAAGAGAGAAAAAAAAAGAGCAAAAAGAAGTGAGAATTAAGAAGAAGAAGAAGAAGAAAAGATGAAATGAAGGAACAAAAAAAGAAAGAAGAAAAAGAGTAGAAAAATAACAGAACACACTTCCTCCGAAAGCATGTCTGCTGCTTCTAAGAATCACTTCCACCGGTGCTTCTCCTTCTCAGAGTGAACCTCCCAATGCTTCTCCTTCTGATGGTATATCTTCCAAAGATTCTCCTTCTGATGGTATATCTTCCAAAGATTCTCCTTCTGATGGTATATCTTCCAAAGATTCTCCTTCTGATGGTATATCTTCCAAAGATTCTCCTTCTGATGGTATATCTTCCAAAGATTCTCCTTCTGATGGTATATCTTCCAAAGATTCTCCTTCTGATGGTATATCTTCCAAAGATTCTCCTTCTGATGGTATATCTTCCAAAGATTCTCCTTCTGATGGTATATCTTCCAAAGATTCTCCTTCTGATGGTATATCTTCCAAAGATTCTCCTTCTGATGGTATATCTTCCAAAGATTCTCCTTCTGATGGTATATCTTCCAAAGATTCTCCTTCTGATGGTATATCTTCCAAAGATTCTCCTTCTGATGGTATATCTTCCAAAGATTCTCCTTCTGATGGTATATCTTCCAAAGATTCTCCTTCTGATGGTATATCTTCCAAAGATTCTCCTTCTGATGGTATATCTTCCAAAGATTCTCCTTCTGATGGTATATCTTCCAAAGATTCTCCTTCTGATGGTATATCTTCCAAAGATTCTCCTTCTGATGGTATATCTTCCAAAGATTCTCCTTCTGATGGTATATCTTCCAAAGATTCTCCTTCTGATGGTATATCTTCCAAAGATTCTCCTTCTGATGGTATATCTTCCAAAGATTCTCCTTCTGATGGTATATCTTCCAAAGATTCTCCTTCTGATGGTATATCTTCCAAAGATTCTCCTTCTGATGGTATATCTTCCAAAGATTCTCCTTCTGATGGTATATCTTCCAAAGATTCTCCTTCTGATGGTATATCTTCCAAAGATTCTCCTTCTGATGGTATATCTTCCAAAGATTCTCCTTCCGACGGTATATATGTCTCACTGCTCCCTCACACTCACCTTATCACATTGGCTCTTCTCCCTCCCCTCTTCCTTCCCATCATCATCATCCACCCACCCCCATCCGCATCTACTCCCTCCTTCCACCACGTCTCTCGGACGCAAACACGCCATGGTAGGAACCATCTGAGAAGCTTCGTCTTGGTGCTGCAAGTCAGGAAAGTGAGCGGAAACTTCCTCTTGGTGTGGTTCCCTGCTAGGAAGCTGCGAGGAAGGTTCTGCATTGCTGGATGGAGCTTGTCGGAAAAGGATGGTTCCAGGAAAGGAGGCATCACAGGAAAGGTGGTGGGAAGGTTCTGGGAAAGAGCTGGAGATTGGTGCAGATGAAGCTATTGGTGGGATGCTATCATTGGCTGCTGGAAAGGCCGGAGGAGTCAGGAATCCAGGTGGCAGCTCGTGATTGGCCGATAGGGAAATGCAATATCCACGAGAAGGCGGCGAGGGTGGGATCGAAGCAGGCACAGGGAAGGAGAGGTGGGAGAGATGGGAGAGATGGGAGAGGTGGGAGAGGAGGTGAGTGTAGTCGGCAGGAGAGGAAAGGGGAGAGTGGTCGAGTGCTAGTAAGGTGTCTCCTGGGCGAATGTGACTGTAAAGAGGGGAGAGCGGATGCACCGATGTAACCTGAGGACGGGAGGGGAGTGGAAGAAGAAAGGAATGCAGTGAAGGGTCGATTTTTGAGTCGACTCAAAAATCGACTGAAGGGTAGGGTTAGATAGTGTAAGGGTAACCTAGTAAGGTGCAGCTAGTGCAAATGTGACTATGACGAGGGTAGGGTGGCACTGGCACGTGTGCGTGGCAGCACGAGCAATGCGCAGTGCAGTGGCGTTTCAGTGCAAGAGAAAGAGACATGCATGCATGCAGGGTTTGCATGGAGGCACATGGCAACCCTGCACATGGTAGGAAATGCATGCATGCATGCATGCATGCATGCAGGGTTTCCGTGGACGCACATGGCTTGGACAAAGAGAATCGTTTTCGTAGTGGGAAATGGGACATGCAGAGAATCGTTCTTCAGTGAGAAATGGGATGGGACATGCACAGAATCGTTCTTCAGTGAGAAATGCCGGGTCGTACCTTGAGGCCGGGGGGTGAGTGGGAGTAGAGTGGAAAAAAGAGGGCCACTTGAAGGGGCGAGGAGAGGAGCAGCAGCGCAAACAGTGACAGCTGCGCACAGATGGGAGTGGGGAGGGGGGTGAAGCGTGACGTGGGGATGAAAGACGAAGGGTATGCACCAACGAATATAAATATTGATATAAGTATAAATATAAATATAAGACTGACCACCATGTTGTGCCATATGCCGGCAGAGAGGATTCTCAGCAGGCGAGCGGGAGGGAGGGCGTGGAAGTCGGTGGGATGGAAGGCCACGTGAGCTCCTGGGAGCAGCAAGGCGAGGAGGAAGCATGCCACGTGCTGCACTCGCACGCCCTCCCTGTGGTTGAGGAGGGTATGGGGAAGGGACAAAAAAGGGGAGGGTAAGTACAAGATTGGATGGGATGAGGGAGCAGCAGGGCAAGGAGGACTCATGCCACGTGCTGCACTCGCACGCCCTCCCTGTGGTTGAGGAGGGTATGGGGAAGGGACAAAAAAGGGGAGGGTAAGTACAAGATTGGATGGGATGAGGAGCAGCAGGGCGAGGAGGACGCATGCCACGTGCTGCACTCGCACACCCTCTCTGGATAGGGAGTGGGGTAGCGGTGGGGAGGCGGGAGGAGAGAAGAGGGAGATGAGCTACACATTGCACTGCAAGCAAGGGCGATGGGTGCTCCTGGGGGCAGCAGGGCAAGGAGGGAGGAAGCATGCCACGTGCTGCACTCGCACGCCCTCCCTGTTGGCAGGGGACAGGGGTGGGGAAGTGTGCGGGACAGGGGGGGTTGAGGTGAAGGGATTGGAAGAGTTACAATGAGTAAAGGAGCAGGGCAGGGCGAGGAGGACGCATGCCACATGCTGCACTCACACTCCCTCCCACACTCATGCGACATTCAAACATGGCAGCTTATTCTCAAGCGCAGCGCACAACCCCACACCATACTCCCTCGCACACTCACAAGCTGACTTTTGAGTCGGATTCGCACGGCCACACTTCAACCCACAATCACACGCATATGACACTTACACTCACACAACAGCAGCAACAGAATGGCCTGTTCAGTGCCATGGCAGGCTGATAAGCAACCCCCACGACACACAACAAGTTAGAACCACCAACACCCCCACGACACTTACACTCACACGGCAGCAGCTACAGCGTGCCGTGCTTCATGCCACGCCAGGCTGATTGATTATCAACTCTTTATGCTCCACAGTCCATCGCTCTTTCCCTCCAACTTACACCCACACACACTCCCATGACACTTACACTCCCACGACACTTACACTCACACGACACTTACACTCCCACGACACTTACACTCACACGGCAGCAGCGACAGCATGCCCCGCCTCATGCCACGCCAGGCTGATATCAACCCCGTGTGTTCCACCTGATAACCCACACCACCATGTTCGTTTCTCTCTGACTTACACTCACACGGCAGCAGCGACAGCATGCCCCGCCTCATGCCACGCCAGGCTGATATCAACCCCGTGTGTTCCACCTGATAACCCACACCACCATGTTCGTTTCTCTCTGACTTACACTCACACGGCAGCAGCGACAGCATGCCCCGCCTCATGCCATGCCAGGCTGATAATCGTGGCTATAAAGAGGTAACCGAGATCGGCCAATGGAATGTTGACACCTGGCAGCTATTGCTCCACGTGGGGTCAGATATGGAATGGGTCGGGGGAGGAAAAGAGCAGGGGAGGAGGGGGGGGAGAGGTGGAGAGGGGGGCGGGGGGAAAAACAAAAGAGGAGGGAGAGACGGGGAGGTGGAGTGAAGAAAGCACGAAAGAGCAAGAGGGACGGAAGTAAGGAAGGTAAGAATTACCAACTGGTACTCAGCTCTCACCCTCACTCACTCACTCACTCGCTCACTCACTCCCTCACGCAGCACAGGCTGTAGCACGAGAAGCGAGGACGATGGGGTCGAGGCAGAGGCAAGGGTGGTTGCTTGCCTTGCCTTGCCTTGCAGCATGTACATCAGGCTCAGCTGAAGCATAGGAGTCTCGCTCTGCTGCTCGGAAGGCTTTCTGTGCTGCATGGGATGCTTGCAGTCGTCTACACTAACCCACTCACCCATGGCTGAAGCACGTGAAGTGAGGTAGCTGCATATGCCTGCTTTGAAGCAGGGAGAGCTGCGTCTGCAGGAGGAGCAGTAGGGTCGGGCTCTGTAGCTCGGAAGGCTTGCTGTGCTGCATGCATGGGACGTTGAAAAAGAACCAACCGTTGAAAAAGAACCAACCGTTGAAAAAGAACCCGCTGCTCCAAGGAGTTTCTTAAAGAGGAGTTCACAACCGACTCACCACAGGCTGTAGCTCGTGCAGCGAGGAAACGGTTGCAGCAGGTGTGGGAGCTGCCTCACTCTCTCACTCACTCACTCTCTCACTCACTCACTCACTCACTCACTCACTCACCACAGGCTGTAGCACGTGCAGCGAGGAAAGGGTCGCAGCAGGTGTGGGAGGTGCCTCCTGAGGTGCTTGGAGGGCTTGCTGTGCTGCATGGGCCCCTGAAGAAGAGCCCATTGCTTCAGAGAGGGTGACAGCAGGAGAGGTAGGTCCGAAAGAGGCGTTTACAGCAGAAGGGATGTGACTGTAGTGAGTGTGGTTGTGAGTGTGGGTGTGATGGTAGTAGCGTTGCTCTTCCTGGAGGTGCTGAGATGAGGTGGAGAGGTAGCGGAGGAGAGGGACGAGGAGGGAGGCTATAAGGCCGTCCCACAGAAGAACCTGGGGAGGGAAAGGAAGGGAGGGAGCGGAAGGAGGGAAGGGAGGGGGGGAGCTAAGCATGAAGCAGGGAAGGAGGGAAGGAAGCATGCTAAGAAATATTTGTCGAGTTTGAAGCATGCATTCCCGAATCAGAGGCCCAACATGAAGTTGATGCAATGCGATACGATGCGATGCGAGCTGCATCGAGAATGACATGAATACGGCGACAATGTCATGGATAGGCGCGCTACAGAAGTGTTCTATGATGCACCTACATTACACACGCACAATGACAAGGAGAAAGTTTGAGGGGCCTCAGAATTTATTCGAGGGACCCAGCACGTGCGTGCGAATAAGGATGGTAGATGATGAGGGTTTCACGCACACACGCACGCACCAGAGAGGCCAATAGGAAGGCAATGCAGGCTGCAATGACCCCCCATGTGAACCATGCACGGAGCATCCTGAGATGAAGAAAAATTAAGGAATATAAATATATGTACACTATTTATGTTTCTTTTGCTGATATTTTTTTATATGTTTTCATTTGAGCGCCGAGGATTAGGCATAATACGAAGAACGAAAGGGATTGCCAAAATAAGAAACACCCTAAACTGAAGGAGAAAATCAAGCTTTTTAACTGCAGCCCAGCCCAGCCCGATGCCCCACCTCTTGGCAGCTGATTTAGCAGGCAGCATGCGAAGGCGCTCCAGCCAGGGGTTGAAGCACGTGGTGTGGACCTGAATGTAGCTGGCGATGGGCGGGAGGGAAGGAGGGAGAGAGAAGGGAGGGAGAAATGGAGGAAGAGCGGTTGAATTTCTGAGGTGCGTTTAGCATGCGAGGGCGTTCCAGGCGAAGACTTGAAGCACGTGGTGTGCACCTGAAACTACCTGTTGATGGGCGGGAGGGAGAGAGGGAGGGCGGAGGGAGAGAGAGCGAAGGCCTCTGGGCGAGAGGGAGAGAGAGCGAAGGCCTCTGGGCGAGAGGGAATGGCTAGATAGACCAATAGTTAACGGGGGGGACGAGCTGACTTGACAGGCAGCAGGCAAAGGTGCGCCCAGAATCGAATTTCAAAAACAAGAACTCGACGAGAAAGTGTTAATGCTTGTAGGATGTATTTTGTATACAACTTACCCTATACTGGACGTGACCCCACTTGTAAGTGTAGCCCCTCCTCCTTGCTCCCTTTCGCCCTGTGCTCTCCCGTTGTTTCCCCCTGCCTCTCCCCCACTCCCCCTAATCTCCCGGCCATCCTCCTCCCCACTATCCAAGCCTTCTCCAACCCCTTTATTAGCACAATCGCTTCGGGTACTTTCTCCCCCACTATAATCACATTCGCCTTCCCCTGCCCTCCGCTTCCGCTTGAGGTCCCCCCTCCCCCTGCCTCTGCGCAGCCAGCGCCAGCGCAGGGGGGATGGGCGGAGAGAGAACTCCGCGTACTGATGGGATGGACAGGGGGCAAGGGGAGGGGGGAATGGGGGAAGGGTTGGAGGGAATTTGCGCATGGGCGCAACTGAGGCTTTTCCTCCTCCGGCCTCCGCGCAGCCAGCGCCAGTGCAGGGGGGATGGGCGGAGAGAGAAATCCGCGCACTGGAGGGATGGGAGAAAGGTTGGGGAGAATAAGCGCATTGGCGCAACTGGGGCTCCCCCTCTTCCTGCCTCCGGGCAGCCAGCGCCAGTGCAGCGGGGATGAGCGGAGAGAGAACTCCGCGCACTGGAAGGAAGCACGGGGACAGGGGGACGAGGGGAAGGGAGGGAGAGGGGGGGGGGGGGGGGGGGGGGGGGGGGGGGAAGGGTGTTTTGGGAGGGGTGTTGGGGAAACTCGCGCATTGGTGCAACTGAGGCTCCCAATCCTCCTGCCTCCGCGCAGCCCGCGCAGGGGGGATGAGCGGAGAGAGAATTTCGCGCACTGGAAGGATGGACAGGGGGCGGGAGAGGAGGTGGGGGTGGGGGGGGGGGGGGAACGGGTTGCATGGGACGTCCGGACAACGGATTACCAGACGTCAGATGAGATGACGCTAACGAAAAAGTCATGCGAGACTTGGTAAGTACCTTGAAGAGCAGGGGAACGAGGAGATTGAGCAGCAGCCAAATGGCGACGCTGGTAACCAGCTCTGCAGACACCGCCATTTCGCCTTCGCGAAGAATGACGACGGGACAACAGCTACGCGCCAGATGTCGCTGACATTACTATACCGGAGAGAAAACGGCACGTTGATCCCGCGGATTCACAATCACAAGGCCATGCGGATCACTCGCGTTGCGGTAATACTACGCGGTTAACAAGCTGTGAATGCGCACACCGTGCAGTAACCGAGGCCTCGTACCATGGTGTAATTTTAGAAAGCAACCTGAGCTAAGTAAGATTCATCGTCGTTGCGTTCTGGGTTGGAAATCCTTGCACCATTTCAAGCCATCACCGAAATGACTGTTGATTGGTGATGCAGCTGTGATACCGCTTTGACGCTTAGGGAATTTCGCTCACATTCTTCTTCAGTTCACGCACCACGGTTTTATTTGGTGCGTCACGATTTAAAGCGGTGAAGAGTGCTATGCGATGTGTGAAGAACTTTCTCCGCATGGGGTGGTTGGTGGATCAACGCGCGGGGTATCCCCGTTTTCGCTGGAATCATCGTACATTTCGCAACCAGCGGTGCTGGGAGGAGCTGTCAAAGTGACCTGCGTGGTAACCATTTGAAATGCCAATCAGGTCACACCTGCTTCACATTCCTTCGTGTATCCCCCGAGGGTTGCAGCCTGGGTTACACTTTTACGACATCATGCGAGCCTCGTTTCAAACGCTTACCGTTCTCTAAACACGCCCCAAACTTTTCAGCACACAGGACAGAACCAACCAACCAAGCCTCCTTCCTTCCGATCAGGCGCTTCTCCGTACATCTTCCATTAGAGAGACATTCGTTTGCTCAAAACCCTACCCCGCCGTTCTGATACGTCAAAAACCGCTCTGCCACATAGAACAGCTTTCCTAACCGAGCCTTTCCTATCCCATCCAACAGATCGAAGCCGTCCATGTGTCATGGATACATGTCTTCTCCATGTCCAGAAGGCTGTGATTGCTTCTCCAAGCCTTCAAGGCTGTGTAGCTGTGTGTCAACAGCTGGTATTCCTTCGTCAACCGCCAGTCGCCTGTCCCTCGCGTGGCTTCCGATCTCATTCATTGCCTGAAAGCTCAACTTCCTGATCACCTGATCCCTCCGTTCCGTTCGCCTCCCGAAATATGATACTGATCGCTTGCGTAACCAGGTTCATCCCTTTGCTCGCCTGTCGTTGAATGAGCAACGGTTATGTGTCCTATTCAATTAAAACACTAATGATCAGCCTTGTTCCGGATCACGTAGATCTTTCGCGGTCCAATTCGGTTTGAAGCGACTCATTTTTAGCAAGCGACCTTTTTGGTGGAAGATCCGCTATTGGCGCACTCGTTAAGAGCGTATCAGCAATGTCTCGCTTCGCAATTCCGTTCCTCGTCATCATATCTATCTCCGCCTTCGTCGCCTCGTACAATGTCGTCGGTATGATCCTCAGCACCACGCGTCACCGCATCTCTATCCGCTCTAAAAGCACCCTCGGTAAAGCCACCTTCAGTAGTAGTCGCCTCCGCCGCGGTGGTCGACCGCTTCTCGGAAAGCCACTTCCCGAAACCGGTTCGGATTCTGTAGGTTCGGACTCAGGCTTGGACGGAGGCTCGGCAGTGGTTAAACGGCCGGAAGGCCCGAGCTCCGGTGTGAAGAAAAAGAAGCGGTATTTCCACACAGCGATGACGTGTAACGACTCGCCGTACACCAAGTGGCAGTCTCGGATCATGTACTTCTACTATAGCAAGTATCGGAACGAGCCTGAATCGGAGATGGGGGGATTCACCCGCGTGCTGCACTCTGGAAAGCCGGACAACCTGATGGACGAGATTCCGACGGTCGTCGTCGACCCCCTGCCTCCGGGAATGGATAAGGTCAGCGCAAGGCTTTGAAACATTTCAGAATCAGAGATACCTCGAGATTCGAATCTCCCAAAAGCTGGACAATCTGATGGACGAGATTCCGACGGTCGTCGTAGATCCCCTGCCTTTGGGAGTGGATAAGGTCAGCAAAGAGCATAGAAACATCTCAGGATCCGAGTTGTCTTAAGAATCCGAACCTTTCTGAGAAGCTGGACAACTTGACAGTTGAGCTTCCAATCCAACAGTTGTCGTCGATCCGCTGCCTCCAGAAAAATAAGGCGAGCTGATCCGGCTGACTGCTTTTCTGATTGATTTTCCTTCTTATTTACCTCCTCCGTCACCAATTTGAGTCGTCGTGATGCAACGCCTTCATCAAAATTTTCCCTCCTCCATTCTCCCAAGGCCCCCTTCCCTCCCTCCGTCCCCATTCTCCCCCCCCTCTTCCCTCCCGTCCATCAATTATTCTTCCCGTCTTATGTTGTGTTGAGTGAGTCGGCCATAAACGTCTGTGGATTGACTTTTAGAGTCGACTCAACCACTTTCCCGCTTCTTCCCTTCCCTCCTCAACCCCGGTTTTTTTTTTCTCATAGGGCTATGTTATGTGGTGCTGAATTGGCCGTACATTGGAGTTCATGCAGCGACTTTTGATCCGACTCGACCCCCCTTTCCTTTTCCCGTCCCCCCTCTTCCCCCGCACCCCAATCCTTCCCCCTCCCGCCTTCCTTCTCGCAGGGCTACGTGGTGCTGAATCGACCGTGGGCGTTCGTGCAGTGGATACAGAAGGCACAGATTGAGGAAGAGTGAGTGAGTGCATGTGCTGGTTGGTTGGTGAGTCAGTCTTGACTTGAGTCGACTCAGCAGTCACCATGTGTGGGCATTCGTGCAGTGGATACAGAAGGCACAGATCGAGGAAGAGTGAGTGCCAGCATGCATGTGCTGGTTGGTTAGTCAGTCCTGAGTCGCCCCAGCAGTCACTGTGTGTGGGCATTCGTGCAGTGGATACAGAAGGCGCAGATTGAGGAAGAGTGAGTGCACGTGCTGGTTTCTCAGTCAGGGTGCACGC